AATCATGTCTCCTATGGACTTCCACTATTCTCCAAGCTCCCTGCCCCCACTCTCTGCTTCTCTCGCTCTAGCTGCTAAGCCCCATTTCTCAGACCCATCTGCATCTAAGAGGACTTTAAGTTGCCACAACTCAAAGATCAAACCAAAAATATCTCTAACACAGACCGCCCCCTCTGTCTGGGTCCCTCTTCTGTATCCTCCCTGTCTCTGGCTATAGAAATCAGCTACCCACCTCCTTACTCAGAACTGATGGAGGCAAGCTCCAGCCCTGGGCATACTTTCAGAACAGCTAGTGCACATGGCACCTGGCCCCATTCTCCTTCTTAGGCAGTTTCCATCACTTTGTATCTGTGGACTCCCCACATCAGCATCACCACTAAAGTTGCTAAAATGCTGATTCTCAGGTACCATCTAGAACCATTGAATCAGAGTATCTGTAATAGGACCCTTAGAACTCCATTTTCAACAATCAGCTTGGGTGATTCAATTGCTTTCATCAAAGTTTCTCAGAATATAGTATTTGGCCCCAGGGTATACTGGGAAGATTCTTTTTTTTTTTTTGTTTTTTTTTTTTTTTTTTTTTTTTTTTTTTTAAAAACTTAATGGCTTTTCCTCTTTTTTTTTTTTTTTGGTCTTTTTGATTCTTTTAAAAAGCTACTGGCTGATCCTCTTTTAATTTTTACATTAAAACATCATTTATCAAATACCTGTCGGGTGAGTTTTCAAGTTATTCTGGTCTCTTGCTCTCTCTTGCCTCCCAGCCACCATGAGGTGTTAAAACGCCATCCACCAAGTGTTCCCACCCTGATGTACTTTATAGCCACAGGCCCTAAACTACAGACTAAAACCATGAGCCAGAATTAACCTTTCCTCCTTTTAAGTGCCTCATCTGTTCTGCCAAAGATGGACAGCTGACAACACATCACACAAGGGATTTACAGTGGACCCTGCCTGAAGAGACAGCAGTCACGTAATATCAGGCCCTCCGTGGACCTCCACGGAGACACATGTCACCATAAGTCACAGTAGGTCCCTGTTTCCATTTAGAAGGCCCTACTGTAGTCGAGGGGGCAGGGGGGCTGTCGTCTTGAATCCCTCATACCTTATGTTGCTGCTTTTCTTAATCTTCTCTAATAACCTATGGCTGGTTTGTCACTATGGATTTGCCATGGAGGGATACAAATTGACATTAACATAAACTGTGATTTTACACATTCACAGTAAGTAGACTTTAAGACAGGCAGCTTGCTGTTCAAATACAAATAACCTCAAAGCTAAAGCAGATGAGTGTCTATACAACCCCTCCAAATTAGGCTTTAAATTGACAGTTCTCTATAGGGATCAATTCATCTTCCACAGGAAGGTGTAAAAAATGGGGGGTGGAGGAGGGTGGACAGAGATCATCTAAGGAGCCCCCAGTGAGCTCTGAATGTAGCCATTGTCACCCCTCTCTTTTATTGCTTTGGAAAGAAAAAAAGCCATCTTCTTTTGTACCCTAGGCCCAATTCTTTCAGTCAGGATTACCAATCCCCGAGACCCCGCCCAGCCCCTCACAGTTCTCCATCAACTCTGCCCTCAGGCGCCACCCTGGACAGACACAGCCCACGGAACTGGCTTGAGGTTTCTCTGGTCTTCACAAATAAGCAGTTAGTAGCATCCCCAACCCCTATCTTCTTTCCCCTCCTCCCAGGGGCCCCCTTGACTCACAACCTCCCCACAGGGGAAACCACAGAGCACAACAGCAGCCTGGAGCTGGTTGCAGAGCTCCCTAAAAAGTTCCTGTGAGTTCCAGAATAGTTCTCACGTGTGGATTCCCTGTCTCTGGTCAGGTACCGCACCAGGCTTTGCTGCATGAGATCCAAATCTGGACACTCGGGCCTGGTGGGGCTAATGTGCAGTCGAAAGGACTGAGTGTGGGGAACAGTGAGGTATCCCCTACCCCATCCCTACGTACCCTGAGCCTGCTCCCAAGAGCCTGCTTGCACAACCCCAAACCCCATGGGAGGTCAGCCCTGGACAGCCTCTCCTGGGCCTGCCTTCTGTTCTTCTCTGCCTTACTCCATTTGTGTTAACATGCACAGACATAGCACGATCTTGTTTGCAAGCCTACAACATGGATTTTAGAAATTGAGGCTCATTCATGTGTAGTGAAATGTGTAGTTCTCAAGCGCACCATGAGTTTTGATAGAGGCATAGCCTGCACCCTGATCAACATGCAGTGTTTCCTCTGTCCCCAAAAGGTCCCTTGTGTCGTTCCTGCTCATCCCCCTTCCTCCAAAGGAGAGCTGTAGGAAAGAGGAAGAGGTGCAGTTATGAGGCATTCCGGTTTGCATGAGGCTGGAGGAGACAGAAGCAAAAGCTAGATAAAAGTGGAAGCAGGAGATTTTCCCCAACCCAGTTGTAGCCTGGAAGCAATCAAGTGTCATTGTTTGTTTATTTTTGTGGGTCTAGGGATCAGAGCCTTGCATATGCTAAGCAAGCACTCCATCACCGAACTACACCCTCAGCTCCACATCATGCATATTTTGTCTTTCTGTCATTCCAGAAGAAAACAGCATCCCAGAGAGGTCCCAGACAGCTCCAGCCTTTCTTCTGGGTCTCTCAGCAGCTCAGGAACCCACCAGTCCCACAGCTGGAGTCTCTCCCCTGCCACCACTGTACTCTGTAGCAGCAAACTTGTGCCTCTTCTTCTAAGGTACCCTCCCCTAATGCCACAGCATCCACATCGCCTCCTTTTCTTTGTACGCCAGAGGTCCCACCTGGAGCCCTCAAAGCCAGGAGATTGTGCTAATGACACAACAGTACCCAGGGGTTCTACCAAGAGCCTTCCCCCAAACCCATGAAGACACTAGGCAAAACAATATCATACCCTCCCAGCCATGGCTACATCCAGGCACCTCTCCACATTACTGCTGAGGGTCTGATGACATCCTGCTTCACAGGTCTGTATGTTCTTCTCGGCCTTGTTGGTAATAGTAAAACAACCTGAGAGCAAGCCAAATGTCAACACTGGAAGAGTTCATTAAATAAACTATGGTGCAACCTATACAATGGAAAATTACGTAGCCATTAAAAATAACATTGGGGAAGCTTATAAATAGACATAGCTGGGGAGATGTACTGCCAAGTTTTAAAGGCATCTCACCAAACACTGAAGCATTAACAGGTTTTTTCTCTGAGGGTCAGGACTGTGGGTCATCATCTTCTGATAAGCTAGTGCTTTGTACAAGACTGCAGAGTGTTAAGTGAAAGGTGTTTATTGAAGGTGCCCAGCTTGACACTGCAGCATCTTGAGGGAAGAGCAAGGACAGCATGTAGAAATGCCCCAACGGCACTCTCCCATGCAGAACTGAGCCAAGTGGCTTTGGAGTCAGCAGCTGCCTTAGCCTCTTTCTAACGGTCTCTCTCTCCAAGAGCCTGCACACATGGCTAATCATTTAGAGGAATTGGCTGCTTTGCACCCCAAGAATGCTGATGGCTCTTACCACCAGACAGAGGTGGCTTCCTGCTCTGTGGTTTGTTCATTTACCTCCCCCTGCCCAAAGAGCCCTCCCTCATGGGTCAGTAGATGTAATTCACCCATTCATGAAAGGCAAGGTAAGGGCTCCTCAGAGATGTTGGGGCCCTAACATCTGGATCTGGTAAGCATGTTATACTGCATCGCAAAAGTAATTTTGCAGATATGAGTAAGGTGACAAATTCTCAACTAGTTGAAGCTCCTGGGTTATCCAAATGGGTCCCCAAGGTCTAATCACAGGAAAGAATGAAAGCACAAAAATTTCTCCAGCTGGAGTCGGAAGCGACATGGTAGAAGTGGTCAGGAAAGGATGAGAGGAGCTGCCCTCACTGCTGGAGGAGGCACTTTGAAAGCATGACTGCGGGTGGCCCCAGATGACAGGCAGCTAGGAAGTGGGGACTTCAGTACTACAACCATAAGGATATCTATCCAGCCAACAACCTGCTCTTCAGGAGCAGATTCATCTTGAGTCTCTTAGAAGGAGCACAGTCCTCAGCACCTTGATTTCAACCCTGTGAAGTTCTGAGCAGAGGAGCCAGTAAAGCCCCATGTGCTCACACCTCTGACCTACAAAACTGTGGGACAGTAGGTAGATCATGCTAATCTGTATAATTTTTAGTAATCTGTTATGGCACCAATTTAAGAAAAAAAAAAGCTAATCTATTGCAATGACTTAGATCAGTGCCCCCACCAAAGGTCTATATGGGAAAGCTTCACCCCCAGGGTGGTGATGTTGAGAGTTTCTATGGATCTTCAATAAGTGGGTCCTGAGGGTTGGAGAGATGGCTCATCAGTAATCTTCAATGATCATGAAGACTAGAGTTCAGGTCCCAGTACCTGCATAACAAGCCAGGTGTCCCTCACACACCTATTACTCAACTCCAAGAGGACTGCTGAGAGAGGAGGATCTCTGGGGCTTGCTAGCTTCCAACCTAGCTGAGAAAACATGAGCCCCAGGTGCAGGGAGAGACCCTGCCTCAAAGGTAAAGAGTGATACAAGAAGACACCTGGTACCCTCTTCTGGCCTTTGTGTGAATGTAGAGGCATGCACACCCATACACACAGACACAGATAGATAAATAAATAGATAAATAATAAATAAATAATTAAGCAGGAAGCAAGCAAAGAAGCAAGCAAAGAAATAATAAAAATATTTTATGAAGAAATGGGTCATAGAAGAAGATCCTACATCACCTACATCATTGGGTCTATGCCAATAAGATCTCTCTCTCTCTCTCTCTCTCTCTCTCTCTCTCTCTCTCTCGGGTAAGCTTGTCCTCTGAGTGACCAGCAATAGATACCTTCTTCTCTAGCTTCTCCCTCACTTCCTTCCAACTAATTGAACCCTAAGACTGTTGTAGGAGGGGAGGGGCAGAGGGAGACAGTCACCCCTCCCACCCAATCAGTCAGTCTTAACTGCCTGAGGGGGAGGGACTAAGGATAGGGACAGGGGGAGCCAGGGAAAAGGAAGGTGCTTCTTCATCTTGGACCAGCCGGCAGCAGTTCAGGAAGCCGCAGCAGAAATGTAGGGGAAAAGGCCCATGGGTGCTCATACCTTTGTAAGTATCCCTTCACTGCCATCATGTGCTCTGTTAGCAAGCCCAATAAATCCTGTTGTTCCCTACACTGTAGTTTGGAGGACTATTTTCTCAGTTTGTCATAAGTACAGTGGGAAGAGGGGGCCATGCCAGGAGCCTGGAAGCCACAAATGCATGCCTCCCAGCAGTAAACCACCACCCCCACCCCCCACCCCTGGCTTAGGATGTTAGGAGCTGCTCCAACACACACTCCATTCATGATGTGCTGTCCCTGCCAGAGGCCCAAACCAAAAACAATGCCCAGTCTCGGGCTTGAAACTCCAAAACTGTGAATTAAATAAACCATTTATTTTTATAAAGTTAACTGCCTCAGGAATTTTGTCATAGTAACCTGAAGTTGACTAATACACAAACTGTCCTTCAGCATCAGTACAAATGTCCCTTCCATGAGCCATTCTGATTCTTCCTTCTATAGTTAAGTGTTTCTTCCTCTGAATTTTCCAAGCACTCAGCTTCTGAGACTTCAGCCACTTCCATAATCCATCTGACCTTAGTGTTGCTTCTGCACACATCATAATTCTCCAACTGGATTCTATGATATTTGGGACAATATGTGAGGCTGGTTCATCTTCATTTTTCTTTCAGAGCATACCGTAACACCTCATGCATATTCAGGGCTGAATTTTCATTGGAAGGATGGCTTACTACTTGGATGGATGGTTATTGTTTAATAAAATGAATTGCTACAGCAGTTAGAAACAGAAATATGGACCTAGGACTGTCTGCAGATGTAGAAAGGAATAGCTATTTGATGAATACTGACAGTGCCAGAAACCCAGAATGGGTGGGGGAAAATGTTCAAAAGGAAGATAGCTAAATGTTTTTGGTGCTTTGAATTTCACAGCACTTAAGCACCGGCCTTAAGATGTAAATTAATACATGAAATAAGTAAGACTACACATTGGACTAAAGGCTTGTGAAACCAGCTGAGTGAGGCTGATGGATTCCTTGCCTCAGTCTCGTCTGTGTCTCTTAGCTGTGGAGAGCTGAAAGCCAGCTCTGCTCCCTAGCCCAGTGTATTGGGAAAATCACATTAGTGATCCCACTGAGATGGGATAATCAATCACTGTGTTTTTTGTGCCAAGGTATAGTGATGTGAAATGGTCTGACCTGGTTTGAGGCCCCAGCTGCCCTTGTGCTCCATACCTCATTATGTTCAACAGTCTGCCTCTCCTGCATCTTCCCTTTTACCTTAGTTTTGGGAAAGCTTTCTCGTGTTTTCTTAGCGCTCTTTTCCTTGTAAGGAATGATCAAAGGCCGAAAACCGTAACAACTTTGCTCTCAGCAAAGTGTGTGTGTGTGTGTGTGTGTGTGTGTGTGTGTGTGTGTGTGTGTGTGTTTTACTGGGGATTGAACACAGGGCCGTATGAATGCTAGAAGTGCTCTACCACTCAGCTATATCCCTAGCCCCCAAAGTGCCTTTTGACCTCACTCACTCTTTCATCCTCACAATATCCAGACAAGGCTATTGAGCAGGTATTTCTATTTTTCAGATAAAAAGACTGAGGTTCCCAGAGCTAAGAAACTTGCCTGAGAGAAAGGAGGAGAAGCAGTCCACATGTGTTATACTCAATTCCTGACAGCCCAGAGTAAGTGGAAGCATGATGTGTTCAGGGAGGGACAGGTGCTCAGGCCAGCCTAGGTGGGAAGCAAGACAAGGAAGTGTCCAGGAAGATGTCAACAGATGGGCGAACCCCTGGGAACCCCTAGAGGGAACACAGAGCACATGCATGGACAAGTTCAAAATCACGGCTCATGCATTAGGAACACTGAGGGCACAGGAAAGCCAGCTAGTTACACACCACTCGGACTCCAGATCCAGGACTGATGCAGGAGCATGCCAGGAGAATGGGAGCAACTTGGGCATCAAATTCTCAGCTACTTCCTGCCAACACTTAGGTCTATATCCCAAGAAAGGAACCCTTGGTCTTTCTCAGTCACAAAGGTCGGGAAAAGAAAGCTCTCTACCTTCCTACATATTGAAAGGTACATGGGGAAGGAAGGAAAGGCATCAAGTTAGAACAGAGAACTCAAGGCAAGAGTGCATGGACATTCCTTACAGGATTTGCTAGAGCAAACTCACCTTGTACAGTTTTGGTACTGGGGCACCGTTTTCCTATTGGGGTGACATTGCCCCCACCAGGCAGTCCTCCTGAGTGCCCCCCCCCCGCTCCAGCATAGCCACACTGATACCCTTGCCATACTGTGCCTGGTTCACTCTGACCTGATGCCTCAGGCAGCCCCTACCCCGGTGTCCCAGGCAAATCTTACGGTCTGGGTCTCCAAGTGATCCATTTGATGCTCTTCCCCCCTTCCCTGGTTGGAGAGACACCTGATACTTGCCTACGCTGTCCTCTCTTTAACAAGAAGGATATACAGCCTGTTAGTTCCAAGAAAACTTCTCTGTCCAATCTCTCACATGTGGTACTCTATTGCTTTATTCCTCTGAAGTGGGTGATGAGCTACAGGAGGCAAAATCAGTTTCCCACCACCCCCTCTGCAAGTCTTATGTGACAATTTAGCACCTTGCTTTAGAGTGAGAGGATGTTTGTGCACTTAATATTTTATTCCTCACTCTGGGCTTAAGGAAGAGTCCTATCTTAGCATCTTATCCCAGAAGCAAAGGCGTATAGGCCTACAAAACAAAATACCTTGCTACCATGCTCAGACTGGTCCCTGCTCTCTCCACACCTCCTTCTTGACCAGAGGAAACTAGACTTCCATAACCTCCCAGCTCTCTGAAACAAATGCCACAGAGGAGAAGTCCCAACTGACTCGTGCATGAGCCGTTTTGTTTCAAAGGCCTGGACCAGGAGCTAGCAGGCTGTGTTGTAAACCTGGCTCTGCTGCTGAAAATCCGTGAGCCCCTGGACAAGTCAGTTACCCTCTGTGAGCTCTTATTTCTCATCTCTAAAATCAAAGGGTTGAGCTTGATGATGGTCCCAAGGTCCTTCCAGCTCTAATATGCTGAGTTGGCCTGGAGATTATGCAAGGCCAAGGCCAGGGCAGTTCAAGGGCAGGGATGACGCCAGAATCCCTTTGGACAGAGATTGTCATTTCCACTCTGGTCAATGGCTGTTTTGTTTCAGGTGACAAAATTGTCACAGGATCTGTCTCCCACCTTACTTCAGGATAGAGACAAAACAAAAGGCCAAGTTCCTGGGTCTGAGGGCATCGCAAAATTGTCACAGGATCTGTCTCCCACCTTAAGGACATGTCCTCCTCCACTTCAGGATAGAGACAAAACAAAAGGCCAAGTTCCTGGGTCTGAGGGCATCAGGGCAATCTCAGGCTTCAGCAGTTGAAGGAAGTTGCATAGTATGAGCAGCCTCATCTGGGGATCCAAAATAAGCAGCACGGAGATTGCTTTCCAAGCACTCCCTCAGCTAAAGATAAAAATATCATGGGCTCAGGGATGTTCCCAGTCATAAATCAATCAGCCAGGACTATTTCCGTACTTATCCTTTACCCAGGATTCCTCCTTACCACCTCTACCCTGTCCTCCTTGCCCTGGCTTCCCAGCCACCTCATCTCTGGAGTAGAATGAGGCTCATCAGCTACCCTCACCACGGGTCACCAGCTTGCCCATGCCAATAAGGAAATTTTTACCCTACCTATGATGGAATGGGTAGGCATTCTGGTGCCTCCACCAGACTCTGTGATCCTGCATAGCAGGGGTCCACTCTGACAGGCAGATAAATCCCCAGTGCACGGCCAGGTCTCTCAGTCTTCAAGGCTGAGGAGCTGCCCACCGGCTGTGGTGAGTTTCCAGAAGTAACCAATCCTGAGGAAGCCCTTCGGTATGGCTAGGGTAGGGCTTCTCACTTGTGTGGTTACAGGGATTAGAGCACCTACCCCTTAGGGCCACTTGGAGGATTAAATGTGGCCCTGTAGATGAAGTGTTAAATTTGGCACATGGCATGTTGCAGATGCTTGAAACACAAGAACTGCCTCCTCCTGCTAGCCTTCCATCTGGAGCTCTTCCTCCCACGGCTGACCCACGTCTTCAAAGAACTCCTTTGAAAAGATTTTTTCAGCCTGTCAGGGTCACATCCAGCTCCTGGAGAGGCCCTTGAGGACATCTGATCTACTCTGAGATTCTAAATCAGTATCCTAGTAATAAGCACAGATGCCACGCGCTGCTGGGCCATCTGGAGACGCTGGCTTTATCCTCGATCCTCTACCGCCCTCTGCAGGCTACTGTACCACATTGCAGGCAGTGTTGACGGTACCTTGAATAACTCCACAAAAACCAAGTCACCTCTTTCCAGAGACTTGAGGCACTGTACTGATTAAGACAGTCAGGCAAAGCAAGGTGTCTGAGGAGGATGACACTTCAAAATAGTACGATGATTTATACTTCCCAAAGCACTTGCTCAATGGATGGCGTGTCCACACAGCTCTTGCCTCAATACCTGAACATGAGGGAACCCCTACTCATTAACATTGCTCAGTCCTCAGAGGCTCGTTAATAAATGACTACTCCACAGCCCTACCCTTGAACATTCCAGAAATCACCTGAAGCAGACCAGCATAGCTTATGTACATACCAGCTTGATTTTTAAAGCTTTTTCAACCTCATCCATACTGTGAAAGAGACAGCATACCCAGAATCTGATCAAGGGAATTTTATAAGGAAGTGGGTGCTGAGGATGTAGTTCAGTTGGTAGAGTGGTACCTAATATGCAAGAGGGCCTGAATTCAAGGCCCTGAGCTTGATCCCTAGTACCACATAAACTGGGTGTGGTACAGGATGATGGGACGCGCAAGGTCATCCTTGGCTACACAGCAAGTTTGAGGCCAGTCTGGAGTACAACACTCGAAGGAAGGAAGGAAGGGAGGGAGGGAGGGAGGGATTGAAAGAGAAGGAAAAAGTGAGAGAGAATGTGTGTGTTGTTTGCTTTTTAGAAGTGACTACAATACAGAAGATGCTTGTATTTAGTGTGCTTATGACTCATAAGCATTCCTCACATGCCAACCAGCTAACACATTTATTAATAATGTTGAACATAACTAGACAGCATCATTTCTGCCTGTTATCCCCGCCTCCCCCAGTGGCCAGAAATGCAGTCTCTGTCTGGCAGGCTAGGGGCTTGAGGCAGGGAAAGCATGAGGCCTTGTCACACTGTCCACTCAGTACTATGTCATGATGCAGTCGTCTGTCAGGACGATGAAAGGGGATGTTCGTCTTTCTTCTGTTCTTATCAACTGCAAGAACATGAAGGAATCTACACAGGGTTCATTAGGCCCAGACATTGTGTAAGAGTAAAAGGAGCCAAGTCTTTGATAGCTGCAGATCCCTTACATAACTGGAGTTTTCAGGTCACATATTTATAGACAGAGCAAGAGAAGATCTTAGAGATTATTCCAGTCTAACCCGTTCATTTTGAAGAAAAATGAAGCAAGGGAAGAGAAAATAACACTTGAAGGACACACAAGCGTTAAACCCAGACTCCTTGGCTCTTTTCCTTCTGACTGATAATTTATTTCAACAGTATTATTTCTAGGTGAAAATTGTTCTGGAGAAAGTTCTTAAACCTAACGTTTTTAATATACAAAGAAGAAAGAGAAAAAAATCAAGACACTGTAGACAATGCCTGGGTTGGTTGGATTTGAGGATCAGAGGATAATTTTCCTTTATGTAGCTTAACAAAATTGAATCAAATTAACTTTGAATTTGTTTCATTCTTATTGTCTGTCCTGACCCCAGGTGGCTAGAGGTTTCCATCTCACTCTGCTGTCTTACAGCAAAATGTGAGTGTAGATCTGAGGTTACAACATGGCAAACACTGATTTGAAGGAAAGGCTTTCTGAGGGAGTCACATGGATCTAGAGAAACTTTGGCTTAAACTTTTCCAAGTTTGTGGAAATCCTCTTTACACAGGCTGTCCAGTGAGTGGAGACAAAACACAAATACTTCCTAAGCCTGTTTCAAACACATGATCAAAACAGACCCTCTCATAGATCTGAGGTTACAACATGGCAAACACTGGTTTGAAGGAAAGGCTTTCTGAGGGAGTCGCATGGATCTAGAGAAACTTTGGCTTAAACTTTTCCAAGTTTGTGGAAATCCTCTTTACACAGGCTGTCCAGTGAGTGGAGACAAAACACAAATACTTCCTAAGCCTGTTTCAAACACATGATCAAAACAGACCCTCTCTGCTTATTGCCACTTAGGTCCAACAGGTCTGAATCTGCTCATCATTTTCTTTGTAAATCATATGTGGATCAAAATCATTCTAATACATTCTGTTTTCTGGCAAATGCCATCCTGCTGAATCACAGCTCTGCCATCCAGCATCATAGATCTGAGTGCCCCGTAGTATGTGCTTCCGGCTCCATAGAAGCCCCACTGTGACATAAGAACACTTCTGGGGACTTTCTCTTCAGACCCTCACAGACCAGGGTTTACAGTTCTCCGGTGTTCTGGTGACACACTAGGAAGGAACAAGAGAGTTCTCGTTGCTAGGGTTTTCTCAGTGCCCCTCCCACTCTATCCCACACATGCCCCCACCTATCACAGCCATCGCATGCCAAAACCAAGAGTTATTTTACAATCTCAGCTACAGGGAATGCCCCAGCACAGAACTCCTTAATTCCTAGTCATTTGTTTATTTTCACTGAGCATTTCCCATGCCAGTAAGCTCTAGAGAGATGATGATGAGCAGTTTAGAAGTGGTCCCTTTTCACTTGGCACTCACAGTCCTTAGAAAGCAAACGACTCATGAAATCAGCTGCTTGTGCAAGTTCATTGCAGGAGTTTTAAATCACTGATGTGTTGTTAGCGAGAAAAGAGTCATTGTTCCTGGTTGAAGGCCTCAAAAGACCTCTTTAAAGATTTGAGGTCTACATCTCATTATTTGAAGATACTAACTTTGCAACCTGCCTATTGGTACCATCCCTGTACAAGAATGGGGCTTGGGTTACTGTCAGCAATGGGGGTCATGGTGGGTTCTGGGTCACAGGAAGGAAGCTGAGCAGCTGTGGGAGCTTAACTGCTTAATAGTTCACACATGCTCTGTGGTTCTCACCTCCTAGTTAAAGCTATTTGGCAGGCATGAAAGTGGCTTGACTGGGGACCCACCTGACTCCTTTATGCTCAGCATAGAGGTTTGGGATGGCAGATTTGCCTCCCTTGGTGGATCACCTACCCCTTCCTCATGCCTGGAACATTTTCAGAGAAATACTCACTTGACCCCTAAACCCAAAGTTGTATGAAACCCACCCTTCTGCTAATCCAGCAGAGGCTGCAAGTACAGTCAAGGAATTCTTTAGGAAGCTACTGCAGTGCATCACTCAGGCTGGGCTGGTTATGAGAGTTCAATGGTAGAAGAAGCAGTCCCAGCATGCTCTCTTTTCCAGGCATCATTCAAGAATATCACAAAGGGGCTTCCCAAAGTGATTCCAGAGACCATAGAATTCCTATACTGCATACCCCTCCATGGTGGAGTAGTCACCATACAATACAGCCATCTGGTTTCCCAAAAGGCTGTGAAGTCCTCAAGGGTAACTCTGTGTCCCCAGTATCAGCAAGGCACATAGTAACCATGAGAGAAATGCCACTGATCTTATTTCCCTTCCCCTTCCATCTCCACAGTGCCTCACGTGGAATCCCTGAAATGGTAGTGATTAACACCAAAGATTGGGCTGTTCTGGGTCTTTATCCATCACCTGAAGCCAGCTAGAAAATGGCAAAATCTCTGGGTAATGACTGCACACAACCAATTCCACCCACCTCAAGGGAGGCCCGGCTACAAGCTGCAGCTTTAGGGAAGGTTCTCATTAGGATCTTTCAGTTCGAGACTGTGTACTATATGACACACTGAAGTCAGTCACTGGCCCAAGACTACCCAGATGAGAGAGAGCCTGGCATCTCTCTTCTCCACAGAATCATCTTCTGAAGTTTGCTACTCTGGCACCTGGCCTTCCAAGGGTTGAGTGGGAATCTGAGAAGCATCCTACCAGGGTGGTGAACTGGTCCACACAGGCGTTGCGGATCTTCTCTGGGGTGGCAGGGCTGTCTAGCTGGAAAAGTTGTTTTGCATTATAAGCTGCATGCTGAGCTCGAGCTGCACGGATGGCATCCTTGATGGCAAAGAAGATGGAAGCGGCTAGGAAGAGAGGCGGCTCCCCAACAGCCTGAATGGACAGAACACAGGACAGGGAATCAACCACAGTAGCTCCAGTCTCATGTCACCACATAGACCCAGGAGGCCAAGCACTGAGCCCTGCACCAGGATGGCTAGAGACATCAGGGAAACTCCACCCAACACTAATGAAGCCACACCAAATACAGCAAGAAGGGGCAGCCAAAATTAACCAGGTGTTTAGGACGCATTTCTTAAATGACTGACCTTCATGGGCATATTTCTTTTACCTTTCTTTTACCTTACACTATATAATTTTCTCAGGTAACACCATGTAAATACACAGTAAATAATTATATGATAATACACCATTGGAGGGTCTATTAAATATTTTTATTGAGACAAGGTTTTGCTGTGTAGCTTTGTCTAGCTTGGTACTATGTAATCCAGGTTGTCCTTAAAATTATAATAATTCTCCTACTTCAGCTCCTTGAGTGCTGAGATTACGGATGTAATCCCATGCCTGGCTACTACTTTATAGATCAAAAAAATTGACATGAATTTTAGGCCTTCTCTAGGTTACTAGTCAAGAAGAACAGTCTTCTGGCAGCTCTGACAGTAACACTTAGTAGGCACTGCAATTACATGTATGTGTAGTTAATATGTAGATCAGTTGGGATTATAGGTACTTCCTAGCAGAGGTTGTCTGTTCTTCTCCACAAAGCACAGATGAGAGACCACCTGTATCAGAATCACTAGGGTTACTACTAAAGTGTCTGTCTGAGGGCCCTATCCCCTGGAACTACTGGGTCAAAATTTCTGAGGCTGTGATCCATACAGGTGCATTTTTATCATGAGTCTGGTGACCCCAATACATGGTTCTCTTGTGAGTATCAATGGCCAGGGTCACAATGTATTCCAGGCCCTATCTGCCCATGACAGCTTAGCAAACCATGAGATCAACAAATGTTTCAATGTCTACAAGTCATGATTTGTCTTCCTTCATAGATCTAAACTTACTTCCAATCATTCTTTGTACTTCTTGGGAACAAGAAGAAAGGGAGACTCACTACCAAAAAGCCAAGGGAACTAGTTCACAGTTCCTTAGGCTTTGTGGTAAAGCTTTAAGGTTGGGTCTCAGCAACTAGAGATGACAGAGTGTATGGTAAATACCACCCACATCTGCAGTGAATTTGCTGATTGTCTCAAGGATACAGGGATGCTATATACGTAAATCATCCCTGAGCATCAAGTACCATTAAAACATGCCAGAGATCTGGGCATAAATTAGGATTTGATCCACAGAAATTGACTAAGGAATCCGTTTGCAACTACACACAGGAGTCAGTTTCAGATCATACTAAGAATGTGTGCTCAGCCTAGTTCCACTGTTCTCGGCTCTGCTGCTTCACCAAGGCCGGTGTTGATCCTCTTCCTTCTTTAGCAAGAATCACTTGCAGACACACCAGGCTGAAACCGCTCATCATCCCTGTGATCTCCCACACTGCAGGTCAGAAAGTGCCACAGATCCAGAGCAGCAGTACCTTGGATGCATAGATGGCCTTCTTGTTTGGGCAGTCACGGAGCAGGGATACCCTGAACTCAGTGGGGATGCTGCCAAATGCAGGGATCTTGTAGGTACTGGGGCCTCGGGTATGCAGAATGCCCTCGGGAGAGTAGTGCAGCTCCTCCATAGTGAAGAGGCCAAGGCCCTGGACAAACGCCCCTTCTACCTGCAGGACAGGTGGAGACCATGGTTACCAACTCCCCACCAGCACCCGGGACAGATATTGCTAGCTACAATGGATGCAAAGCCTGACCTCAATAACGGGGCCTGAAAGGAAGCCAGAACAGCCTTCAACTGTTTGCCTGGCTCTTGCCCCAGTCCCAGGGTAGTTCTGCTGGCCTGTCACTGAGCTTTGACTTGGGCAGAACAAAGGTGGTAATACTGAAGGTCAGTCCAGAACTTACCAGCAATTCTAGGAGAGTGATAGGGTGATAGGCAGATGGAGATGTTGTCCCCATGTCACCACTGGTGACCCAACATTGAGAAGCAAGTTCATGGGAAGAGTTCCTTGGGTAGTAAATCCTTTAAAATTTGTCTCCAGCCTTGTTGGATTCACACTCCTGCCTGTTCTCTGGGAGGAAGTGTCCCTGCTCTGGCTTACAGATCTAGGGTACCTTCCACATATGCTGGTCCCCATCTGCCCTCCAACTCCCCTATTCAGAAGAGTGATAAGTGGCACTACAGGGACTGAACAAGCACTTACCAGAGAGGCCACTGCCAATCATCTTTGCACAGTGCCTGATGCAATGCTTGCCTGAAGGGGGTACTCCCCCAAGCAGTTGTTCAATGAATGTGTGTGTGTGTGTGTGTGTGTGTGTGAGAGAGAGAGAGAGAGAGAGAGAGAGAGAGAGAGAGAGACTTGTTCAGCCCATTAATCCCATGTTTTCCCAAACTGGTTTTCTTGGGGCCATTCTTTGCTTCCTCATGGTTAAGCCCATGTCTTTTACCCCTGGGGACCTCTACCACCCCAGGCTTGGTATTATTTATTTCCTGGAAGGTTATTTACCCAATGCCCTGGGTGGATGAGCAGTGAAGAGAGAATCAATTCTTCTCACTCCAGACCCAACTATTCATCCCAGTTCCCTTCCACATTGTGCTCATTCTCAAGTGCCGTATGTGTGTGTGTGTGTGTGTGTGTGTGTGTGTGTGTGTCCACATGCATGTGAGCACCCTATGCTTCCCCATTCATCATCTTGGTCTCTGGGGGTGTGGTTGCACTTTCCAAGCTAAATCCATATTTATTTATTTTCTGCCTTGAGACTTGGGTGAGGCGTCATCAATATAAATCATTCTCTGGAGGAGATTCCCTAAGCTAAGTACTATGCTCTAGAATGCTTAAAAATGACATTGGACAGCATACTGTGTAGCTGGTGATCCTTGAAGGGAAATATAAGGCACACTGGTGGCCTACTCTGTCATCACACTGGTCTCCCAGAGACCTTACCTGTCCAATATCAATGGCAGGGTTCAAACTGGAGCCAACATCCATGACGATATCTGTACGGAGATTCTAATGGAAGGAACGCAGGTAGTTTGAGAAGAAAAGAATGCCGGAACCACACAGATGTGTCTTGATGACAGGCTATAAGTCCCAAACCAATACCACTTTCTCAAGCACAGAGCCCTGAGCACACTGAAGCAGAGGTGTTAAGATCCCACAAAGGGCCTGGAAAGATGGCTCAGCAGTTAAGAGCACTGACTGCTCTTACAGAGGACTCAGGTTCAGTTTCCAGCACCCACATGGCAGCTCACAATCTTCTTTAACTCCAGTTCCACAGGACCTGACACCCTCTTTCAGCCTCCACAGGCATGCGTGCACATGATGCACTTACGTACATTTAGGCAAAACATTCATATATAGAGAATAAAAACAATTAAAAAATAAAGATTCCCACCACATCTGGACTGCCACTGTCAATGTCTGAAATCTTAGCAGTTAAAGGGTAGGGAGCAGCAATGACCGCTGAACGCTCATGTGGAGAGAGACGATCTCCAGGCACCTAGGGCTTTGAACACCAAGTCTGGGAAGATCATGTAAGAAAACAGTCAACAACCTCCAAGGGCTGAATCCAGACCATGCTGATTTTAATTGCATTAAATGATTGAGGGGCCAGAGGTACAGCTTAGTTGGTAAAGTGCTTGTCTTATATGCACAAGGCATAAAAGATCCCCAGCATCACCAAAAAAAGGGTGGGAAAAGTGTAAATGGTTGAAAAAAATACAAGGAAGATTTTGTGACAAGGAAAAATTATCTAAAATTGAAAATTTAATGTCCACAAGTAGCATTTTACTGGAGCACAATACCACTCATTACTGCATTCACACTACAGTGATAAAGTCAAATGGTTGAGGCAGAAACTGTGCGGTCCCCAGCCCAAGTTATGAGCTCTCTGGCCTTCATCAAGTATTCACCTGTCCCCTGATAATGAGGTGTTATTTCCCAACCAGAAAACTCATCTCCACCAGCTCTTCAGATTACAATTCAATTGTTTCTCTTTTCTTCTCTCTTAGGGCTAAAGTTTTGCAAGTGTCTTACCTTGTGATCCCCTGTTAAGCAGTCAATTTCTACTTCAGAGCAAGCTACCCCATAAGTGAAATAGTGGAAGGCATTCCCAGAGTTTGTCTTAAAATCGTAGCCAAGGTTGGGTGTCCTGGGAAAGAATAAAGAAGATGCCATTCGTATGTTAGAACAAACTCACCCTCTTTCCATACACACATCTTGCCTCACCAATCTTTACATCCTGAGGTTTTGACCATTCTCCCTTAAAGCCTTTGTATTTCAAATACTCTGAATCTTTAATGAAACTCAGGTATTTCCAGGCACTTGGTTTGTATTTCATTCTCCCAGAGCCCACATTAGGGTCAGTCTATACAACCTGGCACCACTTAGCTGACATGCTGTTCAGACAAGACATTTTAAAACAAACATGAAACATTTCCAGTTAAATTTCCCAAAGAGAACTAAAACATTATGATAGACAGTTGTGATGGTTAGTTTTGTCAACTTGACACAATCTAGAATCACCTGGGAAGAGAGTTTCATGAGGAACTGTTTGTATTAGGTCAGCCTGTGGTCATGACTGTGAGAGATTTTCTTAGTTGGGTGGTAAGACCCACCCTGAGCATGAGAGACACGTTCATTTCATAGGTTAGACCAGACTGTATACGAGAGAAGAGAGTAAGCTGAACACAAGCACACATGGACCCATTTTTCTCCACTCTGGACTGTAGATGTGATGTGACCAGCTGTCTCAAATTTCTGCTACTGTAGTGATAAACTGTAACCTGGGATTATGAGCTAGAATAAACTCTTTCTCCCATAAATTGCTTTTGTTGGAATATCTTATCATAGCAACAGGGCAAGAACCTACGGCAACAGTAAATATGCAGTAAATATGATCTTTTTTTATAACTCCAAAGTTGGATGGATGGGCAGGGTCTCTAGCTAGTGACACTGCTACTTAGAAGATGTGTATTCCTTTCTACATCTCACTGCACTAATAACGTTCTATTGTACTCTGTGTGTTGTAATGAGACCACAGGCTCTAATTCCTCTTTTTGCCCTGAGGAAAAGTCTCTCTGAAGAAATATGATGCCTAGGTTGAGAAAACACACGGGTTGCCCCAGTGCCTGACTTGGTACAACAGAGCCCCATATTCTGCAGAATGTGGGTGTGAGAGTTATTTTTTGTCAACTTGACACAAACTAGAGTCATCTGAAAAGAAGGAACCTCAATTGAGGAATTACTTCATTTAGAGTTTTCAATACACTGTGGGATGGGCAAAGAGACCATACTTACTTATAAAACCCAGTAGCAGACAAGCTCACTGCATTTGTGTAGGCATCGTTAACCTGAGGATAGAAACAACCATCAAGAGGAGACAAGTGTGGTTTCCAGAGACCCAACCCACCATTAAAATTTTGTTATTAAAGATTTGCAGGTAACTGGGCTGGAGAGATGGCTCAGTGGTTAAGAACACTGGCTGTTCTTGCAGAAGACCCGGGTTTGAATCCCAGCACCCACATGGCAGCTAACAACTGTCCATAACTCCAGTTCCAGAGGATCTGACAGCCTCTTCCATCCTTTGTGGACATTGCACGACACAGGTGCACTTACTTACATGGAGGCAATACACACATACACATAAAATAAAAAATAAAATATTTTTAAAAAGATTCACAGGTAAGAAAACTAAGGCTTAGAGAAACAAACATTTTTGTCCTGGGATCTTCACTAGGCAGATAATATATGTGGCTTATTTACTGGTGTTCTCTGCTCATAAAGGACACTGGACTATGGGAGCTGGTAGTCAAGGACAAATCTCAGATCAACAGGTTGGATGAAAGAAAATTACTGTCAAAGCTATTGTGAAAATATTACAATTGTCCAACAAATCCATGCTAATGGCATAAGCTGCAAGAATTAAGCTAGAGTTGAGCAAAGTTCATGTATGCGGTACTTAGGAGTATTGGGAGAGAAGTCAAGATCATCAGAGATGCACAGAGTAGAGATGTGGCAGACTAGCTTGTTTTCTCTCAAGCTATTGAGGTGGGGTTGTTCTATCATGTGGTTTACCTATAATCCCAATTTGTTTCTCTCTCTCTTTCTCTCTCTCTTTCTCTCTCTCTCCCTCTCCGTGTGTATGTGTTTCTTTTCTTGGTGTACTGCTGAGGATTGAACCCAGGGCTTTCCATATTCCAGGCAAGTGTTTTACCAGTGAGCTATATCCCCAACCCTTGACTTTCTGAGACAGTATCTCACTAGGTAGCTCAGGCTGGCCTCAAATTCACGATCCTCCTGCCTCCAGCTGCGATTATAGGTATGCACCATATCTGAGAGTTCCTTGAGTACAGGCAGCTGGTCTAGAAGTTAGACAATTGGGCTCATTCTTATTGGGAGTTTTGGTCCAATCCTAGCATCACAGTGGTGATAGAAACTCTTGTAGAAGACCTCCCAACTCTTTCACAAATGGTATTTCAGTGGCCCCAGACTCAAAATCTGGATAAGAAAAAGGCTGCCAGTAGAGGCCCTCAGAAAGATGAGGTTTGAGGAAGACACACCTCATCAAGCCTTCTGGACATGTATGGTGTGAGACCAGGTTTGGGTGATTCCACCCTTTAAAGCTTGGAGAGTGCAGAATCCCAATTCCCAGAAAACTGTCAAGATCCTGGACCAAAAATTTTCCTCAAGTGACTTCCCTCAAGGGGCTCAGCAAGGCTAAGCTTGTACCTGTCCTATGAACCAGATATACCACCTCAAACCCTGTTTGTCTGTATGACTAGACTATCATCTATATATGTTGTGGTTGTTGATGTCCACATTTGCAAAAGCAGCTTGCGCCACTTCAGACTTACCCACTCTTTCCAGGTGCCTTTAGGCTTCTTTGTCTTGAAGGGTTCCAGCCTTTTCAGGATGGTCTGACAAGCTTCCTGAAGGAATCCCCACCACATACCAGACACATCAGTGTTCAGAGACACATGCAGTGGTCTCTGCAGCCCAGGTGACACCCAAGACCACTTGTAAAACCCAATGGCCTACAGTGCCATCTCTAACAATGTTTGCCCAGGGTGACAATCAGATTGCCCTACCACATCCCAGGGGTGACCAAGACCCAGGGTGGAAGCCAGAGGCCCCTGATACTGAGCCAACATTAACTCTGGTCTGGAGAACCCCTCCTCACACTGTGTCTAAGCTGGAAGAGAGAGAGTTTCTGAGGGACTCCCAGGGGGATGCCTCCTTCCATCAAACTCCTTGTTTGATTACATCCCCCTCTGTGGGACAGAAGAGGCTGGGACCTGGCTGACCTCATAGTCAAATATCAGTTTCAGCCCATCCATCATGTTGTGGCCAGTTCCAATTCTCAGGAGTATTCTTTCCCAGAAGCCCCTCCTTTTGCTCCAACCCTCCTCCCAGTCTGTGCCCAACCTTCCTGACTCTGATGGAAATGGTTATGGTGGAGTCTCTCTTCTTACTGGGCATTTAGAGGAATGGCATTCTCCTGGGAAGCAGAACAAAGTCATGGCCACAGCCAATGGGCCACATGGATCCATTTCATACCCATCACGAGTACCCCTCAAGATCCCAAACCTCAAGCCTACTCTCAGTCCAGGTTCCCATAGGCTCCTCACTTACGTAAACGGCCTGACCATTGATGTCAGTACTGACAGAGGCAGCCGTGGGAGAGGTGTTGGGTACAGTATTAGTGCTTGTCTCGCTGATATAAATCATGGAGGTGGGGATTTTCAGAGTTTTGCTGGCCACCTGCAAAAGAGAAAAATCACTCTCGAGATGATCATGGAGCTTGGTTGCCTTCTTCCCAGGACACGGTTCACGTTTACTGTTAGAGGACAATGAGATTATAAGTTCTAAACTACTGTTCTGGGATGTCGACACATTCGGCTGAATTTATACTTTTTAGTGTGGTTTGGTTGGATAAGACATTTATAAACCTAGCAGTGACTAAAAGTGCCCTTTAAAGCAAATGCTGGATTTTCAAACAGTTCAGTCTGGACAATCCTCAGCTAAGCAGATGTTCTGACTGCAATCCAGCACCATTAGCCCAACTCCCCTGTGACGTCTTGTGGAGTGTGGGAAATGGACTAGTATTTTTACGCACAACAAGTTCAGAGCTCAGGATATTGGTAATGGAGACTGCCTGGCCAATCCTTCTGCACAGATAGGGAAACTGAGGCCAGGAGGGGAGAAGACTTGTCCAAGGTCATGTGGGAATGTGCTCTGAGGTCTATTGCTTCTTCTGGCACACGTCACGGCTCAATTTCTCACAGCATCTTCCTAAACACCAGACATCCCAGGGCCAGACCCAGTCTCTAGGCCACTCACCTGGACCATCTTGGTGTGAAGGCCTTGACCCATTTCAGTACCCCCATGGGTCAGTAGCACTGAGCCGTCAGTGTACACGTGAATCAAGGCTCCTCCCTAAGGAAGGAGAAGGAAACAGGCGAAAAAAAAAAAAATCGGTAAATCTTAACTCAGTTTAAGATTTGGAACTGAAGGTATGTAACACAGTAAAAAGAAAGCCATCAGTATCATTTTAAATATAAACCCCCAAGCAACATTTTAGATATAAGCCCCAGGCAACATTTATACAGTATACATCTCATTATTTAATCACGTAGCCCTTCCACAGTAGGCAAAATGTTTTCTATATCTCTTTGTCTCTCATTCTCAGAAGGAAGTAGGACATTCATCTCTATCCTCCCCCTATACCTGAAGAAACAGGATAAAAAAGACAGAGTGGCTGTGTCAGGAAGAACAGGAACTAGAGTTTGACCCCAGCTCCAAGTCTCACTCTTCTGTCACATACTAGACCACAGGGATATGCAATTTCAATTTCATTTCCGTAGCAGAGAGATCCTCAGTCAGATCTATTACCAGTGATGAGGGATTTCTCTTGTCTTATTAAAAACAGGGGTTGAAGGGAATGATGCTCTGGTCCAATGGATACAGACAAATTATATAAAGCAATTACCTGATTCAGGAAAGAAAGAGTGAAGCTTATTCCAAACTTGGTTGGGATTATGCACAGTCCTCTCTTTTTCCAACAATTCTCCCTGGAAAGAAAAGAACATTCTTTTTGGCTTTGTTTTAGTTGTTTTGTTTTGTTTTGTCTTAGGGTCTCCCTATAGCCCAAGCTGGCCTGGAACTCTCGATGTAGAGCAGGCTGGCCTTAGTCACACAGAGATCTGCCTTCCCCTGCCTCCCAAGTGCTGGGAATAAAAAGGAGTACCACCAAGTCCATCTTAAGAGAGCATTCGTATAGAGCTTTCTCTGCATGTTTGGGTCTGGTTGGGCACTTCAGTCAATATCTTTGTACCAGATCAGAGCAGGCCATCCTTGGAGCCACTTAACAAGTCACTGTCATAACTGAATTATACCCCAGAAGGGCAGACAAACGTGAGAAGTGGAAATCTGGCTTCTGGGTCCCACAGTGCGGGTAATACAGACTTCAAAGTACTGTTACTTTTCCTTTGTATGTGGATTCTGTATTGTGTCTGTGTGCTCTAGTGACTGTGGACTGCCCTTGTCCCGGAAAGGAAGACAATGATGCTTTCTCTTCATATTTGTTCGTCTAAGTAACTCTATGAAGAGGACAGAGCTAGTACAACTATCTCTGCTTTACAGAGAAATGGAATGACTGCCAAGGTCAAATTTATAGACTAGTTCCAAAAGTAGGCACATAACTGCAATGTCCCCTGATCCCGGGCTGAAGATCATCACCAGATCTTAAAGGGGTCAATGAGCTGGCAAGTTCAACAGCCTCAGATGTCCATTAAATCATCAGCTTCACATTTGGGTTTCAGCAGAAAGGCTGGACTGTAGCAAAGCAAGAGTGCATCAGAACACTGGACTCTCTGACCCTGGCACTTACTTGTTGAACTTCTCAACTTCGATCTTCCGAGCATGATACTGAGAGTTTGCTAGGCATTCATCCCAGCACCTGGGCAAAGTGAACCCTTCCAGCTTCTGGTTGAAGTGAGTCAGGTCCCCTTCTTTGTACATGTTTTTCCTCCGTACCTTCCCAAGGAAAGAGACACTTAGGCCTTGTTGGTAGCAAGACACTGGGGGTGGGGAGTCAGCCTAAAGCTGAGCTTCCAGGCCCCTCTATAGCATTTGCTTATCCTCTGCTCTCCCGGGAGATGCCCTTGGTAAGAATCACTCTTCCCCTACATAGGCTAAGCCACTTGGGTCTCCTCACCTCCTCTGCAGGCAGCCCACAGGTCACTGCAACATCGCTCATCCAGTGCTCAGCAATCAGCATCCCCTGGGGCCCCCCAAAGCCCCGGAAGGCAGTGTTGGAGGGCAGATTGGTCTTGCACAGCCTCCCAGTGCCCCGTATGTTGGGGATATTATAGGCGTTGTCCATGTGGAATAGAGCTCGTTCCATTATCTAAAGCAGAGGGAACCAAAATGGGAGAGAACAGTGAAATCTCTGATTTCTTTGGCATCTCAAATTACAAACTTCAAGGGCTGCACCAGGCTTGTCGTCCCTGGGCTACTGACCACTGTTCCAGTTTCCATGTGATTTCAAAACAGAATAACCTTGAAGAAATACATGACAAAACACGTAATTAAATTTCTGTAAACTAAAGACAAAGGGTAAACATTGAAACTACCTAGATAACAGGATGCCTTATCATTAGAGGAAAATTAATCCACAAGGCAAGAGTTCTCATTAAAAACCATAAAAACAGAAGTAATTGGAGCAGGTGCTGAGAGAAAAGCTGGTCAAGCCCTGAATCCAATGCCCAGTGAGTAGAGCCTTCAGGAATAAGGTAAAATACAAAACAACAGTAGCAACCCAAGCATTCTCAGATGGAGGACATGAAGAAAATTTGTTCTCAGACAACGTGTAATAAGAGAGTGGCTAAAGGAAATGCTCTAAATGGAGAAAAAGAGGAGGAAAGGAAGAACTTTGGAATATTAAAGAGAAGAAAATACTGTAAGAAAAATGTGATTAAAGCAATAACCTTTTTCTTTCCCTTTGAACTTTTAAAATTAATTGACTTTTTTATTTATCTATTTTTATTTTATGTGTATGAGTGTTTTGTCTGCATGCACCACATTCATGAAATGCCTTCCACATTCATGGAGGCCAGAAGCGGGTGTCAGATCTAGTGGAGCTGGTGTTAAGGGCAGTTTTCAGCTTCCATGTGGGTGCTGGGAATTGAATCCCAGTCCTCTGCAAGAATAACCAGTGCTCGTAACTGCTGAGCCATCCCTCCAACCCCTATTTCTGACATTCTTGGCATGGTTCCCAATATATACAAAGGAAATATTTAAAATGATATAAATAATAATATAAAATGGGGAGGGGTGTAAACAGTCACAAAGGGAAGCACGCTTTATTATACTATACTATACTATACTATACTAATAAGAAAAAGGACAACCCAACTAGACTATATAAATTGTGTATATTAAATATGTCTAGCAACCAACAACATACTACACAAATATTGAAACTTTCAAAAATACAGATAAAGCAAAATGAAATTCTATGAAACATTCAAGTAACCTACCAAGAAGACAGGTGCTAAAAATAGAATAGAAAACAAAAATGAAGGAGCAGACACATGCCCTAATATATCAATAATCATAGCAAACATAAATAGTATAAATAAAAATAAAGGACAGAGATTAACACATTTAAAAATATGATCCAACTTCATACTATCTTCAAATATTCCTCTAAAAAACAACAATAATACAGGCAGAGTGAAAGTAAATGCATAGAAAAGTATAACATACGAACATTAATCAGAAGAAAGCAAGAGTGATTTTAGTTACATCAGCTAAAGCAGAATTTAGAACAAAACTATAAAAGAGAGATTATATAATAATGTGCCAATTCTCCCAAAATACACAATAATGCTGATTGTTTTTGTTTCAAACAAGAGAGATGAAATATGTAAAATAAAAACAGGTAGTACTAAAAAAAGATACAGAAAAATCCTCAATTACAGTTGGAGATTCCCGGGTCCCTCTTTCAAATTTGATAGAAGAACTAGACTGACAATCAGGAAAAGATAAATAAGAACTCAACAATCATCAGCCAACAGCAGCTAAGAGACACTCACAGAACATTCTACTTGTGGTTTAAAAAAGAAAGAAAGAAATTCTCCCTGAAGATATATTCACTTCCTAATTGTGGGAAGTGGGAACACTACCTTAAATGGCAGCAGGCTTGATAAAGTCAAGGACTTTGAGAGAGGTGGCTTATCCTGGATCACTGAGGTGAACTCTAAATGCAATCACATATCTCTAGAAGAGAGGGTAGGGTCAGACGAAGACAAAGAAGACACAAGGCAGATGCAGAAATGGAGTGACAGGGCGAGTCAAGGGTCTGCTGGAGAATCCAAAGGATGGATTCTCCCCCAGAGCCCCAGGACTATAGTCCTACTGACACCTGGATTTCAGACTTCAGGCTTCTAGAACTGCAAGAATTTTCATTTCTGCTACATGTATTGTCAATGAAACTGAATTTTGCCAGAGGATGTCTATGTACTTGAATCTTTGTGTAATGAACTGCAACCTAACTTGGTTCATAAACTAATATAAAAGTACACTTTTGTAACAAATAGTAGCATCTCATCCAGAGCAGTAGCCAGTCACAGTCACATATAGTAGCCAAATCACCAAATCATGTTCAAACAAGGCAATTAACACAGAGGCCCCAAACTAGTCAAGGTGCAGAGAATAAGAGACTGAGCACTCTCTCAGCCCTAAATGGGATACCTATATCACATCCTTTCCTCCCAAGACTCAGGGACCATTGTGAAGGAGGGGACAGAAAGATTATAAGAGCCAGAGATGGTGGATGAAGACAAGGAAACCATGTGTTCTGGACACAGCAGGGCAGTTGCACATATGAACCTGCAGCACTGACAGCATGCACAAGACCTGTGCAAACCCAAGTCATACAAAAACCCAGCATGGAGGATGGAGATGAGCCAAAAGAACTATTGACAATTGGCAGCTGTTGGGGAGAGGGAGAGTCGGTTTTCTTTAAGGGTGTGATGCTGGGTAGGTTGACCAGACTCCAGCAGGTGGACTCACATCCAAGAGCATCAGGGGAACACAAATTAGACTCAATGGGCCTTTAAAAGATAGTAATAACAATAATAGAGGACATGAAGTAGGGGCAGCAGTAGGGCAGGGGGTGGAGATGGGTCTGCATATGATCAAAATGCATTGTATGAAATGCTCAAAGAATCATAAAAGCATTTACATTTAAAAAAGAGGCAAATACCAAGCTGTAACCAATCCAGCCATTTCTATGCTGCACTACTGTCCACAGATGCCACCTGCCCACCCTCGCTCAGCCTCTGGTTTTAAAGGCTAGCTGCTTTGTGAAGTTTTCTTGGCTCAGTTAAGCTTTGCTGAATTTAATTTGTCCAAAGCGTTTATTTTACACATAAATTAATATTACATTCATTTGTATATATAAACACACATTGTTCATTCGTCATGCATAAGATGTGTAAATAACTGCTAGTTTGGCAAACTATCTTGAACAGGGAGGGTTTCAAATCGTCGACATGATACGATCACCTCTCTGCTTAGAGATTAACCAAGGATGAGAAGCTGAAGGTAGGGACCAGTTAGGACACAACTAAAACAACAGAAGGCAAGAATCGTGGAGGCTAACAGGCTGTAGGGTGCACCCTTGACCTCCAGTACCTGAATTCAGGGCTGGGTCCTACTTACACTCTGAGAGAGATCCTGGGTGTTTCCAGAATTGCTGAAGTGATCCACCTCCAGAGCTACAATCTTCCCGGTCTTCATGAAGCCAACCTGGGAAAAGGAGAGTGAGTTCTCAATAGCGCCCTCTTCTGTCCGTCTCTGATCCTTCCCTCCTGCATACCCTGCCTGAAAAAAAACAGAAAGATCAAGAACCTTGTATTTAGCCAGGAAGGGATGTCTGCCACCAGTTATCAGCATGTCTTCATCGCGGTCCAGCATGCAGCGCACAGGGCGGCCTGTCCTGAGTGGGACCAAGATGGTTAGAAACCCGGGAGCCTTCAATAGCCCAGCCCTATGAGTCTGAGCAGACCTTCCTTTCCATCGGCTCGCTGAACCCATTTGCACAGAGCTGCTTTCCTGAACAACCCAGAAGTTCTAAGATGGGAGCCCTGTCCTCAGCCCTGGGAATCTCACTGCCAGGTCTGGCAGATAAAACATGGTTACATGGGTCAGTACGCAAAGAAACTAGCAAAGTTACCCTGTCCTTAGGCCCAATGGTTCTAAAACCAAGAACTGTGAGAATTCAAAACAGGGGGGGAACTATTTTCAACAGGGGAAGGATCCAGAAAGCCTACCTGACCCAGTTGGCTTGACCTCACTTCCCAGAGCTTGCTGGGAGAAGTAGTTCTTGAAACTCACTTGTATGCAGCCAAGGCCACTGCCGTGGACAGCACAGTGCTCCGGGTCTCCTTCCCTCCAAAGCCACCTCCCAGTCTCTTCACTCGGACTACAATCCGGTTTTCTGGAACACCCAACATTTTTGCAACAAAGTTCTATGGGAAAGGAAAAAATTCCTTGCATTGATGCATCCTGTGGACTTTTTACAAACCTGACTCCAGCCTGCCCAACACCAATGCTAGGAATTCTGGAATTCCTAGAGTAGAGAAATGATTCTCTCTGCCCAGTGCTGGCTGGTGTCAGGGTCAGCAATCATTGGTCAACGCAAACTGAACTTAGGCAACTCAGACATTTGTTTTTAATGGGGGGGGCGGTGATCACATCATACTTGCAGAACCCAAATCATCCCATCTGGCAGGAGCTGCTAACATCAAAAATGCTGGCAACCACTTTAGCATAACAGGCAGTTTAGAATATTCCAGCTGCAACTGCTGAAGTAATGTTCCCTATGACTAACATTCAGCTCCCATTTTATTAAAAAGATGAGAAAGTTGGGCAGGATATGCCTATGTAGCACCAAAATGATAAAAATGAAAGCATACCAAACTCTAGTGCAAATACTAAAACTCAACTGATTGATGCAATAACCTTACCAAGTTCCATCTTACACATGAGGAAATTGAGGCAGAAAAAGTTAAATGACAAGCTCAACGGCAGCACCTCAGTGGTGATAGGGTATGGTTCTGGGCCAGTACTCACGTCCCTTTTAGGATCAGCTCAGATCTGCCTCTTCCCATTCCCTATCCCACCCTCCTGGTCTGTTAGGGACTCTCTGGTCATTGCCCCCACTGTTCTCAGCTGACCTAAGTCACCTACCTGGGTTTTCATGGTGTTCTGTGTACTCACAAAGAGTTCCATCTCTCCTGCCTCGCCTTTAGGGATTGCAATGGTGCAGTGAGTCTCCAGGTAAAAGTGCTCCTGGCCACCAATATGCAATTTTCCTGCGGAAACAGTGGAAGCCTTGCCCAATGAGCCCAGTGCTACAGAGAGGTATGCTTATTAAAGGAAGGGTATGCACTCTGCCAAGGAACTGCCTGCTCACAGGTGACCTCTGTGTTTCTCAGTTTAATGTAAAATGGTCTCAAAGTCTTAGCAATCTACAAGAAACATCTCTTACTTCAATCCTCCACCCAAGAAAGAAGCCAGAATTGCACTGAATACATCAGGTGCAAAGTCCTCTCCTCACAGCCAGTGGACATCAGGGACTTCCAAAACTGTGATTGTAAAGCTTCAGAAAGAGTAAAGAAGGAATTGACAGATGTGACTGAAAACAGGAGTGTCTTCCAGAACAGAAGCCATCAGGCCTGTTGGAGAATTAGTTAGCTTGGTGATGATTCAGTGATGCTTAAGAGCCGATGTAGAAAGCAATTTCAAGGGGGGATAATCAGTAGCCTTGCCCTGGGCTTGGAGCTGTGGACCCAGAGTCAGAATGCAGGGAATGTAGGGAGGATATGGAGGAGTAAAGAGAGCAGAGGGTGTGTAAGGAGCATCTTCAGGAGTCTGGGGAGAGTGAGCAATGTGTATAGTTAGAGGAATGAAAGATCCAAAGCTGGAGTCATCTGTGGCCATTATGCACCCTGCACAGTCTTCCAAATGTATAATCTAAGATCACTTATGTACATCCAGACCTGAGACAGAGAGTGGAGATTAAAATGAGGGAGGTTCCATCCCAGCCAACTGCCTACACTTTCATTCCAAACATCAGAGGGGATCATGTTAAAAAATGCTAGCAATCACTTCCTGGCTCCAGGGTTCTATGCATAGCACCAGAATTCATTTCACAAGCCAGGGCCACCCACCCATCCCTACTGTCACATGGTGCAGCTGTACCTGAGACAACATTGTCAGCTTCAGAAAAGCCCTTCTTGATATCTCCTTTCTCAATCTTTATCTCAGAGCCATAAAAGGAGTTGTTCTTTATAGCATCCTGGGGATCAAAAAGAAGCTTCAGAAACGTGGCTTTACAAGAAGGAAGATGGCTTCTGATTGGAGAAAGAGGGGCTTTCTGAATTGCTCCCTTTCTCATCTCATAAATGCATCTCTATATGTTCATTCACACACTTAAAGCCAGTTCTACACTGGTCCAGGGAATCATGTTCTGTCTATCCCCTAGTGGTGGACAAACAGCTTTGGTTCTTCAGGAAAAGCAAAGAATCCCAGATGGAACCAACTGCAGCAGAAGTTTAGAGAAAGAGGAGCTCAATTTAGCCATTAGTGGATACAAATTCCAGGGCTGGAAGAACTTCCAAAATCCATTTACAGATGCTCCTTAACTTATAAGGGGGATAACAATAAACCTATCATAAGTTGACAATAATCATGTCAATAATGTATTCAGTATACCTAATTTACTGACTGAACACCACAGCTTCACCTGGCTAACCTTAAACATACTCAGAACACTTAAATTAACCTACAGTTGGGAAAATAAACACAAAACCTATTTTAAAATACAGTCTTGAGAGCTGGGCATGGTGGCACACACCTGTAGTCCCAGCACTTGGGAGGCAGAGGCAGGCAGATCTCTGTGAGGTCAAGGCCAGCTTGGTCTACATAGTGAGTTCCAGGACAGCTGGGGCTACAGGGAGACCCTGCTTCAAAAAGACCAAAAAAAAAAAAAAAATACAGTGTTGGACAGCTTGTGTAATTTGAGTATCGTTCTGAAAAGTGAGAAGCAGAGTGGTTGCTGGCTATGCTTGTGAACCACTGTGAATTTGAATAATCAAAACATTGTTTAACTCGAACCAAGGTAATCCTGGGAGTATCTGTAGTCAAATCTCCATCTGCTGCTCAAATTGAAGGTTTTTCCTCTCAAGGATGCTCTAAAGGAGTATTTGTAGCGACAGGAGCTCACTGCTATACATAGCAGCTTTATTAGTTACCTCAATTGTGATAATGGCTGGAAGGTCTTCATAGGTGATTTTCACCCCTTGAGCTGCTCTCTGCGCATGCTCTGGGGTATCAGCGACCACAGCACCAATGATGTGCCCAACACAAGTGACCTAGGAGCAGAGACATACTTAAAGAGTGTGATTGGAAACTTCTTGTGAAGCAAATTATATATAGATTGCTCTAAAAGGCAAACGAAGCCCCTATCCTTACAGTCAGAGCATATTTTAGGAATTCCCTGGGGCTTTTTCATTTCCTCATCCTACTGACTGAGGTCATGTGCATCTTTATTAGAGCTTAGAATCAGAATAACAGGAGCCAGACATAGAGCTCGCTGGCATCAGGATAGAAGCAGATTTCATCTCAATGACCAATTCTCGTGTTTTAGCTCTGCTAGCCTACTGAGAAGTACGGTACAGACCATGAACACTGGTTATTCATGACTGTCATGAGCAGAATGAGAGACATGGCACCAGAAAGTGTTTACATCAACTCCAGTCTGCTCCAACACTTTTGGTCTGTTATAAAGAGATAGAGACCCCAAAGACAAGGTCACAACTGGATGATGATTAGATTGTGGCCTTGACTCAGCTTCAATATCTTTCCACCACACCACTCTATTTTATGTGCTACTTTCTAGATTTGTGCCAAAGCCCCTCAAAGGTCACACTCATGTCATAAATTTCATCTAGATATTCCAAATCTATGGCTCACAAAAGCTGGTTTAGTCTTGATGGCACATTTGTTTCAATTTATAGTGATTGTTGTTACCTTTTAATCATTCATTTCCATAAAAATTTTGTATGTTGCCAGGCATGGTGGCACACATCTTTAATCCCAGCACTCGGGAGGCAGAGGCAAGGGGATCTCTGTGAGCTCAAGGCCAGCCTGGTCTACATAGTGAGTTCCAGGGCAGCTGAGGCTATAGGGAGATCCTGTCTCAAAAAGACCAAAAAAAATTGTGTGTGTGTGTGTGTGTGGTATATGTGCATGTATATGTTCATGTGTGTGCCCATGCATGTGTGTGGAAGCCAGGGGTCAACATCTGGCATTTTCCTCTGTTATCTCCACCTTTACTGAGACAGAGTCTCTCACTGAACCCTGAGCTCACTGACTGACTAGACTGACTGGCCAGTGAGCTCCAGGAATCTGCCTATCCGGATTATATATATGCCAAAATGCCGAGCTTTTTACATGGGTACATGGGATTTGAACTCAGGTCTTCATGTTTATACAGCAAGCACTTAACTGACTGAGTCATCTCCCCAGCCCCCAGATCTATAAACTCTTAATAGATCCCTTTCAGGGATAACATTAATTAAACATCCACCATAAAATAAACAAAGAATATTGTTATCCAGCTTATCGTTTTTAGGATGTAGGGTTTCTAATAACACCAATACTTAACATGCAAGGCTCTGATAAGTATCTCTGAAGGACAAAATTAAGTTATTGACCTAAGTGGTTCTGCAGTATTGACCTGCTTGTACCAAGTTGACTCACTAACCAAAATGCTAACAACCTTCCTGGAGATCTTGACAGTGATAAAATAATTTGTTCTTCTACCAAAGGCTTTATAAATTTACTCCCTAAATGCTGTTCTAGTCTTTGTGTTTACAGAGTTTTGTTCTTTCCTTCACCTTTACAACAGTTTTTAAAAGGTAATTACCCTTCAACAATACCTACTTACATCTAATTTACAACATTTAATTGATATCAGAATTATGAAATGACTGTCCAGGAACTATCTTGTGAGTAAAGCATTAGGAGTTTGTAGCAACTATCTTAAGGGCCTGGAAGTTATTACAGATTTTCATACAGTTGAAATCAATAAATAAACTCTCATAGAAACAGGTTATCTACACAGAGTAGTGGTATTATGATTGCTTCCCACTTCACTTTTTTAAAAATATTTTATTTATGCATATGAGTGTATTGCCTGCATGTATATAAGTGCAATGCCTGTGGAGGTCATAAGAGAGTGTCGGATCCCCTAGAACTGGAGTTATAGACGGTTGCTAGCTGCCACATGAGTGCTGGGAACTGAACCCAGGTCCTCTGCAAGGGCAGACAATGCCCTTAGCCGCTGAGGCATCTCCCACACACACACACTTAGCTTATTTAATGTATTCTTATTTTCTTTCAATAAAAGAGCTTAATTGTATACATCAGGAACCAAATTGATAATTCACGTACAATCACCAGCTTTGTTCTACTCCCATTCTGGCACAGAGGCATCCTCAAACACAAATAGCAGTCATCAATTAAATAAACAAATAGCATATTCTGTCCCTTATGGATTGTTGTGAATACTGACCCATTGGATGATGGCCACAATACATGCAGGATTAGGAATTTGGAGCAATGAGCCCAAATTAAAACTTTGATATTTATTCCAGTTACTTCAAATAACAAGTATAAATATACCTTATCCTCTGCAAAGACTGTTTCGTCATTGCAGATGCCAGTTACATTACTCTTAGGAATATCCTTTGAGGAGAGGAAGCAGACAAACCCTGGCACCTTCTTAGCTTCGGAAGTGTCTATGGACCTGCAAGAAGGAGCAGAGTGAGGGGCCAGGTCAGCAAACTGAAGCAGAAGATGCATCATCTAGCTGGATAACCTGTCTCATTTTAATGCACTTTCTCCCATCCTAATTCTTCCCATCTCTGACTTCTTCTCTGTTAGATTCTAATTCATTTCAATTCCATTCTGAAAATGCTGGTTAAATGCCTACCATGGGGAAGCCACTGTGCCAAATGCTGCTGGGGACGGAGGATGAATGAGACAGCCCCTGTCTCCATGGATCAGATACTATGCCCATTCTGGACTCCAAGAACAAAGGAACCACATTCAAGTGAGCAGCATAGACTCTGGAGAGCTTTGCCTAAAATCCATCTTTCCAGAATCACCGTATCAGGGGCCTTTGCCATGCCATGAATCAAATGGCCCTGAACATCTGCACACGGAATCTCAAGGAGAAAGCCTGTTCTAACAGTCTACAGGGCAGAGGCAGTTCAGGGAAAGGGCTAGAAACTGCCCTGAAAGAACCACCTTCCCAACAGTTAATACACACACACACACACACACACACACACACACACACACAACCCTGAAATTAATTACCATTATCTGGGGATATGGGTATTGCATGTGGGGAAACTGAAGCTTAAGAGAGTTAGTAGCTTGTCCAAAGTCACTCTGCCAGAAAAGAACATAACATATTGGAGCCAAAAGAAGTGTGAGGATGCAACAGTCAATGAAACTTCCAGTCCTGATTGTCAAGCTCCTGCAGTACTCACCTCCACCCTCCTCCAACCATTCACAAACTGCTTGGATGGAGGTTACTGGAGTATAGATGAGGTGAGTCACTGCCCTGTCATCATGGGCTCAAGGCAAGGACAAAGCAAAAGAATTAACCCCTAGCTATCAACCATATTAACTAAAGCGAATATTCCTCCCCCATGACCTGGAAAGCTGATTCACTTGCTAGTTAATTTGTATCTGGTTCACTATTCTGGGAGCAAGTCTCCAGGCTAGGAGCCCAAGAAAGAAAAAAAAATCATTGATGAGGAGACGTGGGTCCCTGCAGTGGTGGGGTCTGAGAGACAGAGTTCTTGATAGTTCTACTCTATCACAGGCTGTCCAGAGTCACCAGGTGCTGAAGCTCGGTCTCTAGCTTGAACATCCACAGGTGGCACAATTCCTAATGTTACTTGACCTCACACACAGACCCTGCCACCTTCCAACCCTGTCATCGGTGGCAAGTACCTTCCCTCTCTTGTGCCTTAGTTCCTCAGCTAGGCTTGCCTGTAGGATTGTGAGGAATAAATGAGCCAATATATGTGAAAGATGTGAAACGAGGTGGCATATGCCATCCGAATCTTAAGCATTATGATAATTACTGTTATTATTATTGAAGTGGCAATTCTTGCTCTTCAGGCTCCGAGTATTTAACAAACATATGAGTGACTATTCTTTGCTAGCTGTTATATGGACACAATCACTGCTCCTCACAAAACCCTGTTGCAAGTGGGGAAACTGAGAACTTCAGGTCTCAGTGGCTAGCCCTAGAGAGAGGAGATTCAGTCCAATTCTGTTGCTCTAAGACCATGTTCTCTCCCAGCAGTGCTAGCTGAAGTTCTTCAGAAATTCTGCACATATGTTCAGCACAATCTCTAAGTACAAGTCTAATCTGGCCCTATTAAGAGCCTGTCAGCTGTCGAGCATGGTGGTATACCCTTTAAGCCCAGCACTTGGGAGGCAAAGACAGGCAGATCTCTGTGAGACTGAGGCCAGCCTGGTCTACATAGTAAGTTCCAGGGCAGCTGGGACTACAGGGAGACCCTGTCTCAAACAAACAAGTAAGCAAGCAAATAAACAAAGAGCTGTCAGCCACACTTGGGAATCTTCAAGTCAAGTATAACCTCCTGTTCAGTTCCCAGGTATTCCTGTCTACCTCTCTGACTAGAGCCTCTTTCACTCTCCCACCAATAGACCTTCAAGTGCCCCGAGCCTGAATCCTTCTCTGGATGGTATATTTGAGATGACTTCCTGTCTCCTCTCTAGGTTGGGAAGTCCTGGAGGAGCCCCTCATCTTTGCATCCGCAGCCCCTGGCAGTGTGGGAGCTCTGCCTTCTCACTGGCTCCCTGGGCAGCAGCACTCACGTGATCTTGGCGTGGGCCCGGGTGCTGGTGACCAGCCTAAGAGACAGTTCATTCTCAAAGCGAGGGATGTCATCACAGTACACAGCCTCCCCTGAGGCTTGCATATCAGCAGCCAGGTGAGGCAGAGGCCGGCCCACCATGTCCTCCTCAGACTGATCCTTGGGCACCTCCTGAAACAAATGATCACCCATCAGGTTGAGCTGCTGAGGACTATTCCTCTATAGGCCCAGGGGACACTGGAAGCTAGAGAGAGCCAGATGGCAAAGCTACTCTGAGAGATTGGAATGGATGAGGCTGAAAGGCCTTTAGAGGTAATGGACACAGAAGGATGCCTAAGAAGTCACTGACCATGGTGCTCATAGTGTGAATATATCAAAGGGGAGAAAAGGAACTGAAATATGTATTGACTGGAAACTGGATTATGCTACATTTATATAATAAAATAGAATTCAACCATTAAAACCATACCTTTGAAAAATTTAAACTAGAAGAATGCTTGCATGAAGTATAAAAGCAAGACAAAAACATTCTATATGAGTATATGTATAGTGGCTAGTTCTGCACAAACATAATACATGCTACAAATATCACATATACAAATCCACACATGCACAGGAAAAATAGAAATAAAAATATGACTGTTTCTTAGAGTTGGAATTTTGGGTGAGTTTTAAAGTTCCTTCTTTATACTTTACTGTATTTTCCAAAATGTTTTGAGAATACTAATTTTATAATCAAGTTCTATTTTATTTGTTTTTCAGAGTAATAAAGTATCAAATACTTACTGAGTATTTATTATATGCCAGGAACTATCTAAGCAATTTAACTATGTTTCAACCCTAGGGATGAACCCAAGGTCTTAACCTTGATAGATCAATGCTCTACCACTGAGCCGCATCCCCAGCAAAAGCAATTTAATCCTCAACCATTCTATGAAGCAAGTAGATCATTAATCACATGTGCAGATGGGTCTAATTGGCTTGCCCAAGAAGTAGAGGAGGTAAATACTTTGCACAAGGTTATACAGTTATGAAAAGGAAAACTTTGGCTCATCTGTAGGTCACCACATACTAACACAGACTTCAGCAAACTGCAGCCTTTGAGACAAATATGGGCCACTACTTGGCTTTGTAAATAGTTACTGGAATTTAGTACACTCAATTACCTTTGATGTTTTGTTTTGTTTAGAGACAATCTCCTGTACTCCAGGTTGTAGCCAAATAGCCCTGAACTCCTGAGCCTCCTGCTTCTACCTCCCAAGTGCTGGGATTACAGGCATGCCATGCCACAATTGCTTTAGGAGGTCCTAGGGATGGAACTCAGGGCTTCATACATTCTAGGCAAGCACTCTGTCAACTGAGCTGCATCCCAGGCCCTTCATTCACGTATATGTCTAAAGTTGCTTTTGTGTTGCAGTGACAGAATTGAGAAATTGTAATAGTGACTGTATGGCCATAACATCTGAAAAGTTTATAGGAAAATTTGCTCATCTTTTTACCTAATATTTCTCAAAAAGTTGTAGCTGAAAGAACGGTGTGTGTGTGTGTGTGTGTGTGTGTGTGTGTGTGTGTGTGCGCGCACGCGCGTGCACATGCACAGACTTTTAGATTTACACATTAGCACCAAAGAGGGGCTAGAAAAGACTAAATGGATTTTGCTTTTCCCTAAAGAACAGATTGGGACAAGAGTCTAAACCTAGAGAGAAACGTTGATCATCAAAGGGAAGATAGCTGCATTGACAACAATATGACCTCCCTTCTTCTCTGGGTGTTTATACACACAATAAGGAATTTCAGATGCCATTCAAGTTGGTCATTTGCCAATGGTCAATCATTAGTCATCAAATATGGCTGCAAGGGCACTACTATTTGACAGGTCATGTGTACTCACTTGGAAAAGCTGGACGTTGGCTGGAGGGTCCTTCTGAAAGAGCAGAGTGGCACTGGCAAAGGTGGGCTCCAGTTCACCACACATCTACAGAGGTGAGACAACAGAGGTGGCAGTGACTGTGTGGTATCATTGGGTCCCTCCCTAATGTCCACAAGTAATCAAGGTGATTCTGCAGTTTTGATCACTGCACTGAATCTGTGTCATTCAAACGTGAGCTCTTAGAACTCAGTATTTAACAACCACTCCAGCTTCATCTCCACCTGGACACTGAATGTTTTGTCCTTTCTCTAACACTCCAAGCTTTCCCTCCTTCCACACTGCTCTATGTTGGAATATCACCCCCAACCTTCCTGAAAGTCATCCTTACCCTCCTTTATTCTGTATAAAGTATTTGATGATATAGAAGATGCTCAATAGAACCACAGTGAAAGCAAGAGGGGTATAAATTCCTTTATACATATGACCCCAAATTTGCCTAGAAAGTGATATATTCAGGTCCACAGATAGCAAGATGGTAGATGTATTGATCGGTGAGGTAATGGCACAGTTCCGAGGCTGCCCCAACCCCTGCTCTTCTGTTCTCCGATATTGAGAGAAGGAGGACAAGACCAACCTCCCCAGTCCCCTAATATTGTGCTGCTGACTGCCTGGCCCTGCTCCACACTCACACCTACAGGGTTCCTTTTGCCCAGCTTCTGAAGCACTGTCAGGTAGAACTTGAAGAAGAAGCTGAGGGTGAGAGTGCGCCGGAACTCCACCATGCCACCCGGGGCGTCAGGGGCCAGGAGCAGCTCCTCTGCCAGGCCGGCACACACGTTCTGAAGCAGCTTCTCGTCCCAGAGCCTGATGGAAAACAGAGTGTCGGCTTGCTTACCCCCACTCACAGCGGGGGGTGGGGGGTGTAATAGGTTTGCACCACGCCCATCATTTGGTGTCCAGCACAGCGCCCAAGGTCTCTGGCTTACGCAGGCCTGGGTTCAAACTCTGGCTCACAAACTTAGAACTTCATGACCATAGGCAAGTTATTTAACCTTCTGGGGCCTTGGTCTCCTCATCTTTAAAAGCGCACACAATTTTCTTAATTCGTAAAGAGAGTAATTAAATCTATTGAGTCTTTATAACGTGCTAGGCAATGTCTTAAGTGCTTTGCCTGAATTATTAGTTTTCATTTAATTAAAAATTATAGTAGGAGGCTGAAGAGATGGCTCAGCCAAGAGCACTGGTTGCTCTTGTAAAGGACCTGGGGTCGGTTCAGTTCCCAGCACCCATGTGGCAGCTGAAAACCATCTACAACTCCAGTTCCAGGAGATCCAATGTCCTCTTCTGGCCTTCAGGTGCATTTCACGACACAGGTGCAGTTACATACATGCAGGCAATATACTCATACACATAAAATAAAAGTAATTTTTTAAAAGTTAAAAAAAAATATTGTAGAGGACTGGAGCGATGACTCAGTAGTTAAGAGCACATGCTGCTCTTGCAGAGAACCAGGATTCAGTTCCAGCACCCACATGGCCACTAACAACTGTTTGTGAAGCCAGTTTCATACATGCAGGGAAAATATTAATACACATAAAATATGAATAAATAAACATTTTAATTATAGTAGGGAGAAGTCCCACACCCATTTTACCACTGAGAAACTTGGGCATAAAGAGAGTAAGTAACAACTTCTGTTACTCATCTGGTCAGTGGCGGAGCCAAGGAGTCAAATTTCAAGTTCACCTCTATCCACCCTATATGGTCACTATATGGATTACCTAGAATAATGCCACTGCAGTACTTGGCATAACCGCTGCCATGTGGCAGCCCTGGTAACAGCAGTAGCAGGAATAATACTAGGACTACTAATAGCAATGGCAGGGGCAGTAATACTAATAAGAATAGCAGCAGTGGTAATGGTAGTCATAGTAACAATACCATGAGCAGCAGCAACACTCCTGGTTGTAATACTAACAATGGTGGCAAGGTTGAGAGGCACTGTGGTAGCCACAGTAACAGCAGTAAGAGCAGTGATCCTGTTACTAGCAACACTAGCACTAACAGCACCCATAACTCATAATGGTGCTGGTAACAACAGCAGTAGTAAGAGGGGGGGCAGCAGCAATGATGCTACTATAACTACCTCATGGAGCAGCACCAGCAGCAGTGTTAACAACGGTAGCATTAATAATAGAAGAGTCAGCAGCAGTAGCAGCAGTGATAGCAGCAGAGCCACAGCAGTAACAGGAGTCATAGTAGTGATGATAGGATGAATAACACTGGTGACAGTAGGGATGGCAGCAGCTGTGGTCAGAGCAGCGGTAGTAACTGCAGTAACAGAATCGGCACCAGAATAGCAATGGCAAGTTGTAGCCACAATAGCAGTAGTAGTAGTAACCATATTTAAAAGCTAGGCTATTGCTATGAGACTATAAGCCTTCACAGTATGTTACTGCTCTGATACAGTGGGCAATTACAATACATCATGCTTGTGTGTCTAAACACAAAGGTATGAGAAAAAATACCAGGGAGAATTTTTCAGCTCCATGTTACTCTTACAGGACTGTGGTTGTGTTACAGTCCATCATAGACCCCAATACTATGATGCTGTGCATGATTGTATTAGTTGTAATACTAGTAGTGTTAGCAAGAGTAGTAGCAACAGTGGGTGCAGTAACAGCAGCAGCAGCATCAGTACTAAGGGAAGCAGCAGCAACAGCCAACTCTAATCCCATCACAGTGGCAGGGAGCAGCTTCCTTGTGCTGCCAGCTCTTACTTGGACAACTGCTTTGCAGCAGTCTTGAGGGCTGAGATGGTTCTGTCGGCCATTCCTCCATAGCAAAGGGACAGTTCCTGTACCTCGGTGGTCCCTGGCTTGAATAGGACTCGCATGCCACTAGTTACTTTGGCAATGTCATCTTCTCTCCGTGAGGCCTGCTTGAAGGCTGAGAAAAACTCACCCTGAAAAAAAGAACAGGTGTTCCTCACCTTGCTTTGCAAGCATTGCAAATGGCCAGGCTGAAACATTAGGGCTGTGACTAGAAGGGCAGGAAAAGAAGAGGAAAGGATGTGATCACACTGGTTAGTGGGGAGCTGATCTCAGACAAGATATAACTAACCACATTTTTAGGAGACATCCCAGATCACACTTCCAGAAGCTAAGGGTCAGGGCTTCCCTGCTAGTCAGGAAAGCTGAGGGTCAGGGGCAAGGTAGTCTCTACAGAGCAAGCAGCTAGAAACAGAAAGATGCCTCTACACAGCTCCCAGAGACCCACTAGTGCCCAGTATCAGAACCTTCTGGCCTCTGCAGGGACTTCAATGCAAGTTCCTTGACCTGTTTGCCTCTCCAACAGGAACAAGTAGATATAGCACAGGTTGTGATACCACCTCACCTGCGACTCTCCAAATACCTCTAATGTGCCCCTTCCACCAGTGTTCTAGAGACTGAGAATATCTGTGAGATGATGCCCCACTATGAGACAACTTCTACCTTGGGCTTGAACAAGCTTCTCTCCTCAGTCTGAGCCAGGGGAAAGGATAGCATGAATTGTTTTCTAGGGAAAAACCATCGGACTTCCACCCTCCATGTCCGCTTGCTCCCCAGATTATGGTCACCTTGCCCCACTCAATCTGGTTAACAACAAAAGTCCTTTGCTCTGAAGTAGCTGTGGAGACTCCTCTTGACATGGCAGAGCCTGGAGCACCTTGCCCAGTCCCTGTACTGTTCTGAAGCAATGGTTCCAGATGCTCACTCCCAGGGCCACACTTAACAGCTAAGTGCTACCAGCTTGTCAGTTTCAGGGTGACAATGTCCTTTCTTGAAAAAAAAAAAGTCTAATTCAGAACATAAAATCATCTTTTTTTCTGTGAAGTGGTGGCTTTTGTTGAGGACCATACATGACAAAATATCAATGTGGCCACACGAGCCTGATCTTACCCCCTCTCCACTCAATTGAAAAAAAATAAAAGCTAGCGATGTGTGAAATTCAAAATTCTGGGAATTGCTGCTCAAAATAGTCTATGAAGACAAGCTGGAAAATCATTAGGAAGCCACCTCAGAGGCATAATTGCTCAAATTGAATTAGCATTCTCATTAATAAGGTCAAAATCAACAAGGGCAAACTCTCCTCACACACTTTAAACGCTGTGTAAATGTCCATTATGGATCCTCAGTTGTTGGCTGCTGAGAGAGGAAAGAACTAGACCAGGCCAAGCCACTCAAGACTCCAAGACACAAGCTCAAGACAGCCAAATGTTCCCACATCTGCCCAAATAGACCAGAAAAGCTGCTCATGAAAGCCAAAATCCAGCAGTGCCAGCCTAGAGCAAGGTCAGTGAGCCAACACCCCTACAAGTCTAAGGTCTACACGTGAGGGTCTCGCCCACAGTAGCTTCTCCATTCAACACGCAGGGCCTATACACTTTGTCTGAGGAAAACCATGTCCCTGACACAGGGCAGGAATACCCAACAAATGGGTATGTTCTTGGGACTGTGTTGTTAGCTACTAGCTGATAGCGCCACTGTTTCCAGATAGCTACCAGATAACCCCTCCCTTTCAGTCCTGACTGTAGTCTTCAGAGTGGATAATACTGTCCACTTTACAGATGAGGACATGAGCGCTCAGAAGGGTAAGACAAGTCTCTGGATCCCACATCTAGCTGTTGAATCCCATAGCATCTCTAGCCTGCAGCTTCTCTTTATCCAGAAACAGTAGGGTAGTTCATTGAAGACAAAGTTGAGAGAAAAGGAATCAATGTCAAAATTTAGAGATGCTAAATATGATTATGAGGCAGACTCTGTGCTCCTTGTCTGGAGTCCAGAAGTGGCATAATTTGGGCAGAACCTGGACCAACTCCTGATGTCTCACCTCCCTGCTGTAGGGGATCTCAATGGACAACAGTATCTCCTCTGGCCTGAGAAGAGTTTTTCTGTAGTCCGGGAAGAAGTTGTGGTCTGTCCGAACAGTTCTCCTTGTACCTGTGTGCAGACAGAATGAAGAAAGCCAAATGAGGGAGAGGCTGGGGCCATGCTGAAAGCAGAGGACAGTCCAACAGTAGGAAAAGTTCCTCTCTATGCTTGCTGATGCCACAGTCAGAGGAACAGGTGGCACAACGGAAGCCAAGTCCCCTTCTGAGATCATTAAGTCCTATGTGCTAGTGAATGCCTAATAACTGTTTGAAGGGAAGAAGTCCCTAACCTACAGTGTTTGTCATCCTGTGGTGTAGATACTCCCACCATAGCCAATGTTAAGAAACCAATGTAAAATCACTGAACTGGAAGTTATAACAAGGGCAAGAAAAAGTTGCACCACTACCCTGATGGCTGTCCTCTATGAAGACAGCTGCGAAGGATAGCCCTTGCTGGCTGACATCTGGAAACTTGAATTCTGAAAGGATTCCTACCATTTGGCAGTCTGGACTTCTAGTACATGCCAGGAAGAGCCACCTGTTTAACCAGCACCCAAGTAATCCTGGGTGCTAAGTCTCTAGCAAGCTTCCTTGAAAGACAATAGTTCACCTACATTGTCATAATTCATTGCTGGGAGAATTATTATATACTGTGTAAGTCCCCTGGGAGAGAGCTCTGGAAACTTCTGCCTGTTGTCCTCTGGATTTCTCTCACGTACTTTTTTCCTTTGTTGATTTTGCTTTGTATACTGCTGCTGTAAAAAGTCATAGTCATGACTGTGATCACACACTGAATCCTTCTAGCACATATTCAGACCCAAAGATGTTCTTGAGGACTTTACAACAAAGCAAAGATGTACAAGAGTACACCGTCACGGACCATTTCCACCACACAGTACAGTAGATGTAACCAACCTCAAGACCAATAGTAAAAGGAGGTAAAACAGGAAGTGATGAATTCTGAGTCATTATTACCTTTGTTTGGAAAATAATTCACTTCATTGTATGTTTATATAATTTAATTTTTTACAATAACCCTATTTAACAAATAACTCATAAGTTCCTTATAATCCAATAATCATTGTGGTGATCAGGTACATTCTGGTCCCAGCACATCCCTACATGAGGCATAACCAGAGGCTGTGAATCTTCTATGGAAATCAATGTGGAAGCAATATCAGAAAACTAAAAATAGAACTGCCATATGACACAGCTGTACCACTCCTGGGCAGATACCCAAAGGTATCTACCACAGAGACACTTACACAGCACATCCATGTTTATTGCAGCTCTTTTCACACTTTCAAGGAAATGGAGTCAACCTAGATGTCTACCAACAGATGAACTGATAATGAAAATATGACATACCAAGAAAATGGAATTTTATTCAGCCATAAAGAAAAATAAAATTTTAAAATTTGCAAACAAAAATGTGTAGAATTGAAAAAATATTATATTCAATGAAGTAAAAAGTAATCCAAGTTCAGAAAATAAATACTGCAACTTCTTTTTCAGATGCAGAGCCTAGCTTTTAATTGTTATACATGAATACTCTGAAGAAATGAGTCTGGATTGAGGCCAGGGAACTAAAAAGGGACCCATGAAACAGGAAAAAGAGGCTTTAAGGGAAGTGTGTGGGGAAAGTAGTAGAACACATGGATATGAAAGTGGAATGGTTGACTGGGGATAGAAGGCACAGTGGAGGCAGGTGGAGGGATAGGGAGATGAAGGAAGAGAAGCAAAGAAAACCAATTATGTATAAAAATGCCATAAAGAAACCTGTTACTTTGACACGTCTACAATGCAACCTCTATGCCTAAGGCTCAGGGAACACAGTGGAACGGGGTTAGAGAGAATATTAATTCACCTCTTAACTCACCTCATGCAACAGATGGTAATGAATACAGAAAGCCACAACTGGCCAAAATGTAGAGTAAGAGACTGTAGAGTGTGTGTCCCTGGATAAGACTCCTATATTAAACCTCACCCACTTAGTACTCAGGGAGTGTTGCTGAAGAGGGGGCGGAAAGACACTAAGAGCCACGGGTGGTGGATGATCATAAGAAAACAGTTTTCCAGGCTTCTGGGAATTTGCTCAATGGTGACAGCATGTGCAAGAACATGAAAACTCAAACAGACAAAATCCCTGCACAGAAGAGGGGAAATAGGCAAGAAGGCCCAACCTTAGCTGAGGAGCTATTGACAACTGGTCACTGCTAGGTGAGGGAGTGTTAGTCTTCTTTTAGGAAGTGACACTAGATAGGTTGACCAGGCTCTAGTGAATGAACTCACATCGAGGGACATTTGGGGACACAAAATTGACATGATAGGCCATGATAGGACATTATATTATGACAAAATGCATGAAGTTCATTAAGGGGACTGTGGAGGAGAGCATATGGGGGAGGTGGTCTAAATATGATTAAGATATAGTGTATGAATTGCTCAAAAATTTAATAAAAGTTTTTTAAAAAGAAACCTTTTACTTTGTATGCTGACTCAAATTTAAGTTAATTTTAAAAAGAAACAGAAAGGTTCAGCTCTCTCATCCCCTAGCCTGGGACATCCCTGCAACTTGTACCAATCCAAACCTTAAGGCAGCTAGGTCACTAAATGTGGGGCTTTGTTTCTTTAGAAAATGGTATATATGGTAAGACTTTCCTCCCCCATCTCACTCTTTCTGGACCTCTTCAAGCAGCTCACCTCTAGACACCAGGGTCAGCTTGGCTCCACTGGCCATGAGCACGGGGTTGAGGTCAGAGATGGGGCTGGCAGTGATGATGTTTCCTCCGATGGACTAGGAAAAGCAAAAAGTGAATGAGAACCTACTCCAACTTATGCAGTTGCTTCTGCATGCAGGGCAGGAGGTGGCAGTTGCTGAGGGAGGGACCTGAGGACCTGACCCCAGGAGACACAGCACAGTAGGGCATGGTCCTTCAAGGAAACACTTAAGATTGGGTCTCAGTTCCGGAACATACATATGAGTCAGTAAACTGAGGCAAACGCTTTCAAATTGTTTGCCCCCACCCAACTTTTTCCCAAAAAGATTGATGTGACGTATCACACAGGCTGCAGAGTTAGTAAAATGAAATTAAGGACAAATATCAAGGAAGAAAAGGAGGAAGTCTTAAGGATGAATAGGTTGGCTCTATCCAAATCTGAGCTTCCTGGAAATTTGATCAAAAAAAGGGGCGGGGGACCAGCAATCAGATAGAGGGTTCTTGTTACTGGAACCAAGGAGTAAAACCAGTGTGAACTGAGAACAAAGCCTTCCCAGAAGTAGATTTAGCTGAAATGGGGAACACAATGGAGCTTTCTGAGTTTGTGTTTCCTCATTTACAACCAGAAGTGGTGGGTGCTTGGGCACGGTAGGGGGAATGGACGTGTGCTGTTCTGTCCTGTTTCAATTTTAAAAGCGATTTAAAAAGAATAGAAAGGAGGGAATAGGCTGCTTCCCAACACCATACACTTGTGAACCCCAAATGGTTCAGAATATGTAAACGCTACTATCTGCAAACTGGAAATTTCAGGGCTAGGCTGAAGGCTAACAGGATGGATGGTCAGCAAAATGGGCACCTTCTTCCTCTCAGGGGGTGGCTCTGCTTCTTGTTCTCTCCCAAACCCTGGAGGGATCTTCCCCTGACCCCTGCATCCCCTTCTGGCTTCTCTCTAATATAGCTCTCATTCACTTCTAATATCCTGAGCCACACTGAAAAAGAGAGCGGTAGGAAGCTGTGTTTCCCCAACCCTGAGAGTAGACTGAGTGGCCTTCATTAGAAGCACCCAGGGGCTTGTTGAAGTGTGGGCTCCATCCCCAAATCTCTGCAGGCAGGGTCCAGAATGTGCATTTTAACAAGCACCCCAGATAAGTCTGAACTCTAAAGTTTGGAGCCTACCAGACTGAAGCAAGTGAGAGTCTATAGCCTGAGACATCTGCTTTCTGGCCAAAGGTCTCCGCTCTGCCTCTGACCAAGGGACTCACCGCCACGGACTTGACCTGCTTGCCAGCAAACCAGCGCAGCTGCTCCAAGACACCTCGGAATACCTCTGTTTTTTGAACTGGAAGCTCATCAACTGCATCCACCAGGACCTTTTCCACAGAACTCAGTGGACAAGCTGCTCCAAAGGAAATTCCTAGGAATAGACGTGGGAATAACAGTTGCCCCTCTATGGTTGGGAAAGACCTTTCATATACAGTTCCTGTGAAACTCCAGGCAGGCTAACCTAGGGTTCCCATCTTTAAAGGGATGAGCACATTAAGGCCCAGAGAAGTTATGTAACAATGTATGTCACTCAAGCCAGGACTCATGCCCATACCTCTGTATTCTATAGCCAATGCTCTTTGCTATGAACCAGTAGTTCTCTACTCAATAAAATCAAGATCTTGGAGGTGAAGACCTGGCTTTTTTTTTAACAAGAAGCCAATCACCATCCATCTCCATCTCTCAAGCTATTCCAATCTGTCATCAGAACCCACAACTACTGAGACTCCTACAGCCTCTTACTGGTTGTCAATCATGTATGCGCAGTCAGGGAAAGGCAATGAGGACTGCTTTCTTCCCAGGTCACCCCTTCCCCTCTACCCAGTGGGATCCATGGGAAGCAAGTAGCAGTCAATGTCAAAGGCAGGCTGCTGGCACACTTCCATTCACTCCAGTATCATAGCCTTCAACAGGCTGCACATATCTTTTACCCTCAGGTCCATGCTCCACTGAATTCAACTCAGGGATCCAGGCTGGGCAGATGATCAGAGGAAACAGCTTGTTCTTAAACTTCATCTCAATGCCTTAGGGAAATGAGAAGCCTGAGTTAGAGAGCTTAGCAGTTTCCCTACCGGATGCACGGTGTCAGGCACCAGGAGGGCGCTCAGGATTAGGAAACAGACCAGATGAAGACTTCGGTTAGATCATCCAAAACATCTCTCTCTCTCTCTCTCTCTCTCTCTCTCTCTCTCTCTCTCTCTGTCTGTCTGTCTCTCTCTCTCTCTCTGTCTCTCTCTCTCTCTCATAAAGTGCTTTAAAGAAATGAGTTCACAGTCACTGTAATGCATGTGTACACATGTGATAACATTAGAAACCATAGGATATTAAGGAATGGACAAAATTCTTCTAATCCCTTTACGTATTTTAATTCATTTACTACTCCAAAAGCCCCATGAGGGAGTGTGTTTCTGCTTACAGATGCAAAAATGTCCAACTTTGAAAAAACATTTAACAATAAGTGACATTTAACAATAGAACAATAACATTTTAAATTTTTATTATTTATGTGTATGTATGTGTGCATGTGCACACATGAGCTCACAGATACATGGTCATGTGCACGTCATGATGTGTGTGTAGAGGTCAGAGAACAACTTTCAGGAGTCAGTTCTCTTCTTCCACCATGAGTCACAGGGATAGAACTCAGGCCATCAGGCTGATGCAGCAATTGCTTTTTACCTGCTGAGCTATCTCAATGACCTCAATTTTTTTACTCAAATCACACAGCTAAACAAGCATGTTTCAGTCCTGGAGTTATTGCTAGTGTTGAGGTATAATGATAAAAGAGTAAAATCCCAAAATTAAAGCAGAAAGAAAATGAGATGCAAAACTTCTAATTTGTCTTCCAGTCTCCAGTCTCTGAGTTCCTCAAGGTGCATGACTTTACAGGGTCATGTGTCTTCTGCCTCCCAACTAATCAAGTTAGAAGCTGCTACTAATAGTGCACCTCTGTTCCCAGTTAAAGCAGTACCTCTCCCAGTCCTGCCAGTAGGGTTTCTGGTGGGAAGAGTTGAAACAGAGGATTCCCAAAGGGAGACCCAGCTTTGAGGTGTCCACTCCCAAGAAAGAATTCAGACTGAGGCAGCAAGTTCCACCTTAGTAAGGCTTTCTCTACACTCATTCCCCCCAACACACCCTGCAGTGGTTATGGGTGTTTACTTTGCAGCGCATGTATATGAGGAGAAGGGACTAGAGCAGATGGAGTAGTCTTAGAAATTATTAATTCCAATAGTGGAGTTTATAAAATCATCTTAGAACCCAGAACACCATTCGATTCATGGCAAGGAACACATCCAGGATCCTCCAAAGACTCTTCAGCCTCCTTAATCATGCTACCCCTAGACACTAGGACTGTGGCTATAAAGAAAAAGACCTGAGGACCCCAACTACATGGGCAACAAGAGCACCAGCTGCCATGAGTGCTGCTGAACCCCATCTTCACAATCATCACTGAGACATGTCTCACACCCTAACCCCAGTGTCACAAAACTGAAGCTGGGGACTCTGCACCATATCCATGAGTCTGAAAACAGACACAGTACTATGCTCCATCACTGAATGAAGCCAGGCTCTCTTCTCTGGGCTGAGGATCGAACAAGAATCTAGGAACTACAGTTCCTTCAGGAACCAAAGCCAGACTCCCAGCAGTGGCCTTCATGTTTCAAGCATGCTCTGCCAACCAACTTCTCAACACACACACTGGACAGAGATCTTCTGTGACAACTTTGCTATGCTAGGACCTTCTCTTTGGATCCTCACTAGGCTTGGGATGCAGCAGAATGAACATCAAGGCAACCTAGGTTTAGAAGGGCGTAGATAACAGTTAAGGACCTAGACCCTCTGCCACTGTTGTCTGTCTCGTGGAGCACCAGGACTGAGTATACCGCCTTGACCTCCCTGGCCTGTTCAGCCAATGTGAACCTCATACCCAGATGGGGGCGTGCTCCAGGCAACACAAACGGTGAAACTTGAACATTGCTCCTTTGCCCTATCACATTATCCTAGAAGAAAAGGGGAAAAAAGCCAACTGTGACATTTATAGGGCCTGGGGAGACAGATAAACAAGTAAGAGCACTTGATGTGTAAGTATGAGGACCTGAGTTCAAATGCCCAATACCCATATAAAAAGTCAGGTGTGGACACACACACACACACACACACACACACACACACACACACCTATATATAACCCTAGTGCTATAGGAGGTGTGCTGCTACCATTTTAGCTCCAGGTTCAGTGGGAGATCCTGTTTTAGAATAAGGTGGTGAGTGATAGAGAAGGGCACTCCACATCTTCCTTCAGTCTCCATACATGGACATGTGCATATACCACACATACATATACATACATACATACACATACACACAGAGTGACATTTATAGACCTCTAACATCAATCAGACACTGGCCTGAACACTTGGTCAGTATTTTTTAAATATTTTATTTATTATTTCTATTTTATGTGTATGAGTGTATTGCCTGCATGTATGTGAGTGCACCCACATCATGCAATGCCACAGAGGTCAGAAAAGGGCTTCGGATTCCCCTGGAACTGGAGTTAAGGACGGTTCATAGCCGCCATGTGGGTGCTTGGAATCGAACCTGGGTCCTCTGCAAGAGCAGTCAGTGCTCTTAACTGCTGAGCTGTCTCTCCAGCCCCTTGATCAGTATTTTCTCTCTCCTTTTATACTAAGAGAGCTGTGAGGGAAGAAGTTCTATCCACTGGTTCTTTATGTCCCAAGCCCTTCCCAGAGTCCTGGGTTCACAATTGGCACTCTGGATGTTCATGAAGAAAATCACCAAGTGTGTGAGGATCCCACCTGATATTCAAAGTCATCGTTTAAGAAATTACATTACTCCCAAATACAGAATGGGAAGAAAAGAAACTCTTCTTGAGGACACAAAGAAAAAGGGCTGATTCAGGCCTGGGTGACTCCAAAACCAAGGTCTTGGCAGGAGTCCAAGTGTCCTGAGCTTCTCGGTGAGTTCCCTGAGCATCCAGTGAGGGAAGAGGTAGAGAGCAGAGGGGAAGCTCAGCAAGAGGGAGAAGACTGGCAGAAAGAGCCCAGCGACACTCCAAGGCTCCCACCCAGCCTTACCGATCTCTGTGTTTCCCACCACCAGCTTGGCATCAGGGTGCTGAGCTTTGAGGTCCAGTAGCTCTCTCAGGGTTGAAGCCTGGATCCAGGTCACACGCTCCCCTTCAAAACGCAGCTGCTTCTGAGGAGTGTCTTTCAGCCTCTGGGAAATGCAGTTAGTTTACTGTACTATCTCTTTCCTACCACTATTTCCTGAGGAATCTGCAATGAGAGTCAACTTCTGTATTGATTTTTCTAATACTGAATTCAGAAGGAAGATCTATGCGACCAAGGGGGAGCAAGAGGGGACTACATGCAATAAGGTGCTCTGCTGGTCCTATTTAGTTCATCATAGCACTCATTCTTGAGAAGAGCTTGGTGAAGGAGGCACTCAGCCTCACGTTTACAGGAGCAACCTGAAAATTAAAGAGGTCATGGCACCTGCTAAAAGTCACCTGCCGTGAGCAGGCCCAAGCCAGAAAGCCCAGGTTCTTGGCAGCATCTCATATTGTCTCCAGGAGGAATGCACAAGGAGTGAAGGGACAGAGGTCAGGAAGATGGGTGTCCAAAAAGCATGCAAAAGACAACTGAATCTAGCAGACGTGGGGTGACATTGGTTGAGAAAGAAACCCCCAAAATCAAACTGATGGTGTTTTCAAGGTTTTATAGTCCAGAGAAGGATATGCCAGTAGCCTGCTGCAAAGTTGTTCTCTTGCCTGAACGTTTGGACAGCCTCAGGAGCTTATATCTCTGAGAAGTGTGTACCTCAGAAACTCTGGAAGAGGCTCAGTTCTTTCCTTGCCATAAACGTCAGTGAAAGCAAGAAAGTAGGTTTGAGAGTGTATGTAAGACAGAACTGCAAGTCAGGTTCACGTCCTTTGAATACAGCTTTGTTTTACGACTGCTTTAAATAAACAGACTGCTTTTAGAGAGGAAAACCCTAAAAGGATTTTGATAGGCTTACACACAGATATAACCAGGAGGTCAATAAATAGATACAGAACACCTGCTGTTGATGCACAGTGTGCCACAGAGACCAAGGCTCTGTTCTGGTGGGGCTTATAGTACATCAAGAAACATGGACACCAAATCTATAATTGTATGACCCATGTAAGGAGAAGCACTGGGTGTCAGGGAGCATGGAATAGAGGGCTTCGCCTCCTATGGATGTCAAAAACAGGAGAATTTAAACTGAAGCCTAAGGACAAGAAGGTACAATGTTCTCTGTGAGCACATAAACAAAGCAGGTCTCTGGAGCTCACAACACAGATACTTGGCTGGACTCCTCCCCAGGATCACTTACCAGCAACTCTGGGGGAAAGATGGGTTCCTGGGTAGGATCCAAGGGTGTGAAGTCCTCTGGTTTGAATAAAGACGGTGAGAGTGTGACCTACAGGGAGAGAGAACAGTAGGTGGCCCAGCACTTGCTTTTAGATGCTCAAGAGGACTGACCTCCAGGTGAGCTCATTTCCATATGGAGAACAGGCAGCTCTTGGGATCACAAATCAAGGAGGCCCTGCCAGAGGACCCAAAGCTAATGAGCACCTCTGCCATCCTCATCATCTGGATGTCACTACCTCTCATCAATGTTCCCTCTTCCAGGGAACACTCAGCCAGGGATACAGAAAGAACGTAGTGATTTGGCCAGGTCAGAGACTGTCCCCCTAGGCTTCCAGCATAGGAAGACCAGCTTACCGTTTGGTCTTTCTTCTGGTTCATGCAGCAGTTAGGGTTGTTTCCATTTCCTCCACAGCATCCACCATCCTGGAAAGATGGAAAGTATCACACAAGGATATTTTCAGAGTTTTTGCAGAATCTAAGGAACTTCAATTATTCATACCTACTAAAACCAACTCTAGTACCTCTCACCGTTTATATCAACAGGAGGAGCACTGCCCCAGTCCAATGGTATGAAGTTGAGGTGTCTGCTACATTCTCTCTTGTATCACTAACATGGATTAAATAATTTAGGAATGATGTGTATTAATATCTCTTAGGAACAAAGGAAAATTTTAATCAAGAAAATTTCTCCATGAAAGTTAGGCTCTACTTTATCAAAACGTATATTTAAATTTATTTTCCTTCTTCGGTATTGCTTTCTTAGGACGGCCCTAGGAGAGAAAGTCTCAGCACTTCTCTGGACACAGAGGCACTACTAGGCTAGCCGATGTTTATGAGACTTGGTTAGGGGTCTCTGGAGTCTCCATGGAACCCTGCCAAGGATGTCCAAGATCAGTGGTGGTCCCAGAGTTGCATCCAGCCAATGTAGCCTCCACTACTTACTAGGCACTTTCCCACACAAAGCTAAACACCCTCCACTCTTTACTGTGACCTTATTCTGGAGAAAGGGTATGGGTCAGATCTCCTGTCACCTATGGAGAAGTGCTTGCTTAAGATCTCTCAGGATGCCAGTGACAAGTATAGAATCACTGCCTCCCACAACTGAGGTCTTACATGGTGGGGAAAGTGTGTGTTCACCTGGCAGATTCAACCCAAGAAAGCAAGAATTACAGTTTGGGGCTCAGGAGACATTCCAAAATCATGATGCTACACCAAGGCACAAAACTGGGGAAAACTCATAGGCACTGTTCTATGGTAGCAGGGGCAGTCCTTCTGCATAGGAGTCAGGGGAGGTACCTTTCCATGCTGGCATTTCTCAAAAGAGATGTCACAGCCCTTTATCTTTTCCTGTCAAAGCTCACAGCAAACCATGGAGGCTGAAGGTGTGGCCTTTGAGAATGTGTAAGCACTGCCAAGAGAGACCTTTGCTGGTCTCAACCATCTGAACATGCAGTTCTGTACACAGAGCCCTTGCTGCATCCCAACTCTGCCACTGCATGCCAGACCTGCTCTGTCTATTCTAGATGACCCCAATGCCACTTGGCTCTTCTCTATACTTAGGCGGGAAGAGAGACTCCTGCATCTTTCCTCTTGGAGGAGTGATGAAGTTGCATTCTCAGATGTAGAGGAAGTGAGAGGGATTTGCATATAGAAAAACATCAGCCTTGCTCCCCTGGCCTTCCTGAGGAAGGACATACATTACACAAGTACATTTTCCCAGACAATTAAAATGCCAATACTTTATCACTTAGATCTTTTTCCTTGGTAACTCATTGGTATGTTTAAGTCATAAATTATTGTGATATGGAATAGTGAGTCATTGGCCTCAAAGTCTACTTGGGTTGAGAAAGGCTGACTATTCTGTCTACATGCTCCCAAATTCTTGGCTTTATTAAGCTAAGGCTTATGCCTTTTTAATTTTGCGTGTGTGTGTGTGTGTGTGTGTGTGTGTGTGTGTGTGTGTGTGTATGTAGAGGCCAGAGGTCATCCTCAGATACTATTCCTCAGGTGCCTTCTCCTTCTTTTTTAGAGACTGGATCTCTCACTTACCCAGGTACTCACCAACTAGGCTAGGCTGGCTGGTCAGTGAACCCTAGAGATTTGTCTATCTCTGCCTCCCCATCACTGGATCTTAGGATCAAACTCAGGTCCTCATGCTTTCATAGCAAGTACTTTAATGGCTAAGTCATCTCCATGCCTTTTCTTTATTTCTTCCTACCCCTGGATACTACTCCCTTGTCTGCACATCCCGCAGCACTTTTGTCTATTCATTTAATGAAGGACATCTCTGTTGCTTCTAAATTTTGACAATTATGAATAGAGAGGATATAAGCAATGCTGTATGGGATTTTGTGTGGCCATAAGTCTTCAACACCCTTCAATAATATCAGGGAAGGCAACTGTTGGATAATACAATAAAATATGCATAGTTTTGCAAGACACTGCCAAACTCTTCCAAAGCAGCTGTGCATTTTGTATTGCCACCAACAGCGAAGGAGCATTCCTGTTGCTTCACATCCTTCTCAACATTTGGTGATGTTTTTGAATCGGTCATTTCAGTGGGCGTGCAGTGGTAGCTCATTGCTGTTTTAATTCTCAACTTCCAAATGATATATGATACTGAACTCTTCATATTCTTTCTTGCCATCCACATAGTCGAGGTGACTGTTCAGATCTTCTGCCCATTTTTTTTTCATTAACTTCTTAAGTTAGCATAGAAAATAATGGATCTGTTCTGACATTTTCCCATTCATAATTGATTTGTTAATTTTCTGAATGTTGAGTTTTAAGATTCTTTGTATTTTGGAAAAAATCTTTCACAAAATATGTCTTTCTTGTGTATTTTTCCAGTCTGTAGCCTGTCTTCTCCTTCTTTTGGCTTTATCATTTACAAAGTAAAAGTTTTTAATTTTAATGAAGTGATTAATTGTGATTTCTCATCTTTGATGCCATAATTTAAAACTCATTGCTATACTCAAGGTAATCTGGTTTTTATCCTATGTTATCTTAAAGAAGGTTTGCAATTTTTCATTTTATATTTATGTTTATGATCTAATTTAAATGAACTCCCAATAAGGATTAAAATCTGTGTCTAGATCCATTATTTTGTATATGAATGTCCAAAAAGACTAATGGAACAAAACGAAAGCACTTAGAACCAAATCAAACCACCAACAACATCCCTCCATCAAAACACTCATTCCAAGATATATTCAGACTTCAGAAAACAAGATTTAAAGAAACAACTCTTATAAAGAATCTAGATGACATCACACCTTGTCTTCAGGGAAGCATGGATAAGAATAATTGGACTCTCGGAATCCATGTAAAGCAAGAAGAGAATGGAGTGAAATAATAAACATTCAGGGAAAAAAAATCTTATCAACTTAGAACTCTGGACTCTATGAAACCATTCTTCAAAAGTAAAACAGAGGAGCAGAGCATGGTGACTCATGTCTGCAATGTCAGTGCTTGGGAGGATTGCTGCAAGTTTGAAGCCATAAGTGAGTTCCTGGGTGTAACAATCACATCAAGAAGACCTAAAAATTCTCAAGGTGTATGCTAACAACAGGGCATCAGAAAGGGAATTCCCAAGATAAATTTTAAAAAGTTTTAAACTGAATAAAATTAAACTTATAGAACTGCAAAGACAAATAGATCAATCTATTTTTATAAATATTTTATTATTTTTATTTTGTGTGTATGCGTACATTGCCTGCATGTGGGTAAGTGCACCCATGTCGCACAATGCCTGCAGAGGAGAGAAGAGGCTGCCAGATTCCCTGGAACTGGAGTTACAAACAGTTGTGTGCTGGATAGCTTTAGTGTCAACTTGACACACCTGGGTTGAGGGAGCCTCAATTGGGGAATTGCCTCTATTGGACTGGCCTGTGGCCAATGTCTGAGGGCATCTTCTTGATGAGTAATGTGGGAGGGCCCAGCCCACTGTGGGTGGTGCCACCCCTAGGCAGGTGGGCCTGTGTTGCATAAGAAAGCAGGAGGCTGAGCAGGGCCAGGGGAGCAAGCCAGTAAGCTGCGTTCCTCCATGGCCTGTGCTCCAGCTCCTGCCTCCAGGTTCCTGCCCTGAGTTCCTACCTTGGGCTCCCTGATGAACTGTGACCTGGCCTGGGTTGAGGGAGCCTCAATCGGGAAATTTCCTCTATTGCACTGGCCTGTGGCCATGTCTGAGGGGCATCTTCTTGATGAGTGATGTGGGAGGGCCCAGTTCACTGTGGGTGGTGCCACCCCTGGGCAGGTGGGTCTGTGTTGCATTAGAAAGCAGGCTGAGCAGGGGCCAGGGGAGCAAGCCTGTAAGCAGCATTCCTCCATGGCCTGTGTTCCAGCTCCTGCCTCCAGGTTCCTGCCCTGAGTTCCTACCTTGGGCTCCCTGATGAACTGCGTGTGACCTGGGAGATGTAAGACAAATAAACCCTTTCCTCCCCAAGTTGGTACTGGTCAGAGTGTTTTGTCACAGCAATGAAGAAACAAACTAGGACAAGTTGTTAGCTGAAATTGGGGCCTCTGGAAGAGCAGTACATATTCTTCACTGCTGAGTCATCTCTCCAGCCTGATACATTTGATCATTTTTGTTTAGTGCCTATGCCCCCCAAGCAAGTGCAAATGCCTGTAATGCCCAGAACCACACCTAATGAAAGCAGTTGTATCTCCATCTTCTATTGCTTTAACAAGCAGAACCAAAAGCCGTGAAATAGGGACTGAGCAATTGTGTTGAAACTGAGGTCATGATATCAGGTCCTTGAGGGCCAAAGGCTTCAAAATATTGTATGTAAATTCTCTCTGATTTGAAATATTCCTTTTCTGAAGCTCCAGATCCTGAACCAAGAAATTATACTTGATCCTGCTTTCTGGGAAGCACCCATGACAGGAATGGTCTAGAGATCTTCAGAAGACTCCTTTATTGTCCCTTTAATGTTTATGATATCCACAGTTACTACCCTTGTCTTTCCTCTTGATTTTAGTAATTTTTATCTTTTTTCCCTTTAGACAGCCTCACTCAAGATTCTTTTACAAAAACTAAATTTTGTTTTGTTGATTTTTTTCTCTATGGAATTCCTGGCTTAAATTTCATCAGTTTTCTGCTCTAAATATTATTTATTTTCTTCTGATTTTTTTAGATTTAATTTGCTTTTTTTCATTTTCCTAAGGTAGAAGCCTACATTATTGATTTTTAGAACTTTCTTCTCGCCTCATATTTACATGCCCTACTAAAAACTTCCCTCTAAGCAATTTGATAAAATGCATTTTCAATTTCATTCAGTAAATTTATTTTGGGATTTCTTCTTTGCCCCATGTGTTGTTTGGAAGTGTGTTGTTTAATCTCACAGAAAACGTTTTGGAATTTTCCATCTATCTTTCTGTGGTTGATTTCCAGTTTCATTTCACTGTGATCCCAGAGCAGACGCTGTGTGATTGCTCTTACTTTTAATTTGTTTTATAGCCCAGAATATGGTCTATTGTGAATGATCCATGTGAGCTTGAGAAAAGTGCCTTTTCTGCTGTAGCTGGTCAAGGTGGTATATAAATGTTAGCTACATGCAGTTAATTGATAATATTGTTGAATTCAACTACATCCTTATTGATTTTTCTATCTGTCGGTTATGCTCATTTCTGATTATAGTGATGAAACCTCCATTTAAAACAGTAGATTAATCTGTCTTTGCAGTTCTATGTTTCAATTTTTCAGGTTAATGTTCTTTTAAATTTATTTTGGGATTTCTTCTTTTGATACTCTGTTGTTGGTTTCATACATAAGTCTTCTTGACATGGCTGCTGGACCCATGAACTAACGGCAGCAGGGAGCTGCACTAGAGTGGGCCCATTTATACCCATCACGGAGGAGGGAGGTGCTTATAAGACTCCAGCCCTCTCTGAGGGCTGCTTATAGCTATGAGCAGTTAAGGGATTCTGGGAAAGAAGAGTCTCATCTCACTGCAAGTTACCCTTGTTCAAGTAAATAAACCCCACTCAGGCTAAAAAGTTTTTTAAAGGATGTTTATGTCGTTCTGAGGTTTTAATTCCTTTTTTATTACTTATTTGGAAGTCACTACAGTATTTGGCTTCAGACTTAGCCACATGTCACTATGGAGTATTTCTACTAAATCAAAGAAATAAAACTAGGTGATTGCCAGACTATCTCATTAGGTGGAAAGAAACCAGTAACCCTGGGGAATGTCAAGTCTCTTTTAAGGTCTAAGTACTACTGCAGAGTTAAACTGTAATTACTGAAACCAGAATTGCTACATTATTGGCTGTTGCCCTGCTTGTCCAAGTCAACACTACAAAAACATACCAAAGGTGGACAACAGAGCTGGCTGGGACAATTACTGCACATATAAGGATTTCTTGTCAAAGACTGTACAAGATTCATGAAACTTGAGGGTGATGGGTGAGGTTTTAGCATATGCTGTCTTTTACATCAAAAAGTATTTCAAGGTATCTAACCAAGTTATGCCGTGAATGAACTTATTCCATATCAAGACCTCTACCATTTCTTTACAATCCTTCTTTAGAATTCCTGTCACTGTTTTCCTTATTCATGTGTTCTTGCAAGGTGCCTACTTTTTCCATTAAAACCTTCAGTGTATTCGTTATAGTCTTTTTGAAACTCTGGATTTTCTCATTCTGACGCCTCTGCTATATCAATGTTGGTTATGCTGTATGTTCACTCTCTTCACACTGGGTTTGCCTTTGAGCATGTCTTGTTACTGTCTTTCATTGAAAAGCAGATATGCTGTACCAGATAAAAAGGACCTCTATAATAGGCTTTTAGTGATGTATTGGTGTCAGGGAGAAGTATCTTACAGTCCCAGGATTAGTTTTAGTCTTCGGTGAATCTGCTCCCTACACTATGAATTTTACAAGGGCCTTTCAGAAGTTTATGCCTCATCTCTTAGGTGGGTCAAGGTGTCTGAAAGGGGCTGAGTTGGGAATTTCTATTCCACCAGGTAGGTTAGGCTCTGACATAACCTCAAAAAGTGAGGCTCTGAAAAGATAGTTTCTTCTGAGGATAGGCCTTGTCAAGAGCAGAATGCATGGTTCAAAATTATTCCTTTTCCTTTCTCCCTAGTAAAAATAAAAAAGGGTTATTTTTAATCCATATTTGCTATAAGGACCTGGCAGTTCCTAGAGGTAAAACTCATAAAGGTGTAAGCCACCCCTCTCCTCATCATGATAGGCTCCCCTGGACTTTGCATCCCTCCAGCATGCCCACATTAAGTCGTCATCAGTTCACAAACTACTGTTCAGATTTCCCTATTCGAATGGTGCTTCATGAAGGGGCTTCTGTTTACATTTCTGCTCCCACACGCTGTGACTGTATCATCCCATCTGTCTCTAACTCGAGAAGCAGCAATTGGTTCTATAACTTCACTCCCCTGAAGGGTCTAAGAAAAGGTCTTGATTTTCCAGTTCAACTTTTTACTTCTTATTAAAATAGAGTGAACATATCTAAGCTCCTTACACACCATGTTGGAAACCAGAAGTCTTCCTTCTACCTATGTGTATTTCCTTCCCTTTCCTTCCTTACTACTGGATGGGCACCGTCAGTCTCAATGTGGACGATGTGCCCAGGTTTACCAGACTCTCCTCACTTCAGTAGAATGAGCTGTTATGGGAAAATAGGAAATCCAAGTTTAATGCAACTGTGCACAAAACCAAACAGGCTCTAAATAAAAGTCCTGGGGCTCCAGTGAGGAACATGAAGGCACTTGTATAATCGTGCTTGGGGCCAGCATTTGGGCTGCTCAGCACTCAGCTTTGCCCTATTCTACCCTACTGGAGAAGCTGGGTTGACAGAGGATATTGCGGCACAGCAGAATCAAGAACCATTTCAACGTCATAAAACTGAGACTTAGGGAAGAGTATCGCTGTTGGCTACATGCAAACAAAATTCTCTTTTGTAAAACTTTCAGGGTTGGTTAGACTGTATGTCTCTGAGCAGGATCCTCAGAACTAGAGGGACAAGATGAACAACCCCTGTTTCTCAGGAAAGCTGGGCAATTAATGAAGACTATGTGGTAGATCTGGGAAGGAATGTGTCAGCACTATAATTTATTACACCATTTGTTGAATGCCTAAGATACACTAGGTATTGTCCTAAAAGCTCTGCAAGAAGTATTTAACTTTCATGAACTCACAAAGTTAGGTATTATTATAATCGCCAGGCTACCACACTCTGAATCTGGGTTTTCCATCATTTTTGCTGAATTACATAGTTCCTACTTCATGATCAACAGCCTTCTCCAGGGTGTGGTGATCTCTATCTTTATGAGGCTCCCTGTCTACCCCCACTCAGCCATCTTGAGATGGCTGGGATGAGGATTGACTGGGACTAGGATTACCCTGGCCCTTATGAAGAGGTTATGGGAAAAGCAGAGAGGTTAACACTCTATCCTTACACATGACACATGTGTACCTGTATGTGTTAACCTAATCAGTGACCACACACAAGGCTGTGGTTTCTCACTCTGGGTTTATAAACACTGCAGGGGTTCACAAACTATCTGGAGATCAAAATATCAGTTTTGCAAGCCCAGTAGAGGGCCAATTGAACAGCTGCCAGGAAAGGAAAGAAAAGGTGTGAGGCTGAGCCAGGCTGGACGCTGTTAAATGTCATGTTTAGCACCTGTGTGACAGAGCCTCGAGACACTAGGGACTTGGGCAGTATGCATCTTCCCAGGAATCAAGAGCACAGGCCTTTGCCAGAAGGAAAGCCCAGACTGTGGATAAGGCTATAGCATGTGCATCCCTTGCACACATCCCCAGCAGGACGACTCACTCACTGGCTTGCCTCATTTATCCTTCTTCCCTGTAGACCTGAGGTCCTTGGAGTCCTATTCAACTGTGTTCCCTGTGGGTCCCTTAGGGGCAGGCCACTGTTGTTCCCCAGCCTCACTTACCCTGGCAAAGGTCCGGTAGCCCTGGAGGATGGGTCTGTAGCCTGTGCAGCGGCAAAGATTTCCTGCAGGCCAAGGGGAAAGTTGCAATGTCAGTGCTGCCCCAGGGAGCAAAAGGCTTATGGCCTTGCTCTATCTCAGCTCAAGACTCTGGGTATAGGTCTGCCTTTGACATCCTGTGTCTGCTGGTCCTCTTTCCTGCCTGTTTTTCTGACCTCAAAACACCCATCGTGACTTCTGGGCCTTCCCAGAATGCTCAGACCATCGTTTCCAAGGTGTCTGATCAGAGCCTTGTCAGTTTGCTTCTCAAACTTCATTACCAATAGGCTTCTTCTCGGAGTGGGAGTCCCTGGAGAGAGGGCCTTCTATATCCTGTCCCTTACATCTCATATAGCGTGCATGGTACAGGATAGAACTCAAATGAACTGTTTCAACAGGTGAAAGACTGAGGTGCTGAATAGATAGGAAACTTTCTGGATTCAATCCAGATTGGCAGGACCTACTCACAGCAGGCAAAGCAGGAAATCATTGTCTGCTGTGACTCAGTATTGGGGCTGTCTTCTTCCTGAGTGGCAGGTGCTCTGGAAAAGCTTGTCCTGGCAGAGGCTGAGGGAAAGGAGTTCCTCCTGAGGCTCTGGGCAGTATCCCAAATGTCAGTGGTTCCTCATGCTAGCTGCCCAGGGCCAAGGCCACCCCAATGAAGGGTGAGAATGCTGCCATTCCAGGAAGCAGGAACGGACCTGGACAACCAAGTGTTCTCTAAACTATGAGAAAACTAACTTTCCAGCAGCTTTTGGCCACCAGCTCTCCAAAGAATAACACCCCCCATTCCTGCCACTCCTAACTGGTTCCTGACTGTCATCCATGCTGACCAGCCCAGGGCCCATCTGCCATGCTGGCTTCCCTGGCCTGTGCCTGAAGATCCATACCTTGGAAGGCATTCTCAATCTCCTCAATGGTAGGGTCAGGCTGATTCCGGAGCAGTGTGTACATGCTCATGACAATGCCTGGGGTACAGAACCCACACTGGGATCCGTGGCTTCTGGCAATTCTCTCCTGAAATAGACAGATGACACATGCTTGTGTTGGCAGAACTCCTCGCCAGCTCTGTGTATAATTCACCTGAAGCTGGCCTGTGTAGAGAGGTATCGGGGGTAGCTGTCAGGCCATCCAGTCCCTCTGAGCTATAGGTTCCTCATCTCTATGATGGGGACAACCCTACTACCTACTCCTGAGGATTTAAGGAGATAATTGATATAAAATTTTCTTTTCCTAGTGATTGAACTATGGCCTTGCACATGCTGACCAGGCTGTCTATCACTGAGCCACATCAGCAACTGTGTGTGTGCATGTGTGTGTGTGTGTGTGTGTGTGTGTGTGTGTGTGTGTGTGTGTGTGTGTTTAGGATCTCACTATGCAGCCCAGGATGATCTTGAACTCATTTTGTAGTCTAGGCAGGCCTTGAACTTGCAATCCTCCTGCCCCAGCTTCTGGAGTAAGATTATAGGCACCAGGCCCAACTTAAAACTCCTGAAACTGTACCTGGCATACTATAGGCAATCAGTCATTGTTAGCTGTTAGTAGACAAGTCCCCTCAGAGAACAGTGAGTGTTCTGGCTCAGGGAATTTAGGAATTTACTTGAGATCACATATCTTTTATAGAAGCCCCGTGTCATGTTCCTTTGACTACATGAGCCTGCAGGTCAACTCAAACAACACTCCTGAATGACCACAGGGGGCATCTCATTCCAACCTGCCACTAGATTCCTCTATTAAGTGAAGGTGACCTTCATAGCACAATGAGGACATAAGAACTCGGGCCTGTGCCAAGTTGAGTCTACTCTATGCATGGGATATCACAAAAACTCCACTCAAAGCTGGAAGAGTTTTACTACAAGGTGCCTTTCCTGCTCTAGGTGGCTTTTACAGTCTCTGGAGTAAGATTAACAGAATGTTATAGCATATGTATATGTATGTAATTTTTGTGAACACTGAGAACGTACTGTGCCTATAAAGGTACTGGGGCCAGGTGTGGTGGCACATGCCTTTGATCCCAGCACTCAGGAGGCAGAGGCAGGTGGATATCTGTGAGTTCAAGGCCAGCCTGGTCTATGTAGTGAGTTCCAGGCCAGATGAGACTATAGGAAGGCCCTGTCTCAAAAACACCAAATTAATTAATTAATTAATTAATTAATTAATAAAGGTACTGGGAACAGAACAGCAGAGAGAGAGACAGGATAGAGTTCATGAAGCTCATACTCTGATAAGGAAAATACTGACAAAATCAAGCAAACAAAAGTGCCAAGCAGTGGTCAGTGCTATGTAGAGAATCTGTACTAGATGACATGATCCAGAGGGACTGGCACCTACTCAGCCTAATAAGAAAAGTCCACACTGGAAAAAGACTCTTGAGGCTGGCTTTCATATCACAATTCGGAGAACAATATGCAAGAAGGCTCTGAGCACAGAACAAGCTCGATGTGCCAGAGCTGCTGAAAGGGTGTGGGTGGAATCCGCTGGTGCCAAAGAACTTGGCTAGGAAAGCAGCTCTGCACACACCAGGGCAGGATCTGGAACTTTCTGTGTATGCCAGGAAACCCTAGGAAATTTCTGCTGGAAGTGACGTGATTCATGCTTTAAAAAAAAAAAAAATCACTCTGGGTGCTGGGTGGAAAATGGGTTGTAGGAGAAAGTGCACACGTGGGGCCCTGGGATGTTGTAACAGGCCAGGCAAGGCGGGGGGGATGACGTGGGCTAAGTAGCAAGAGTGAAAACAGAGAGGGAAGTTGCCGTAGAAGGTTTAGGTGGTAGAGTGAACCCTCTTCCAGATGGACAGGGTGTGGTATATGAGCGAATTGAAGATGCCTCCTAGGTTCTTATCTTGAACAACAGAGTGGATTGCTTTGCCATTGGCTCAGGCAGAGTAATACCTGGTAAGGAAGAAGTTAAGGGTGCAGTAGGGTTTTGATAAACTTGAGGTTATTACTTATGCAGTGACGTCAAGGAGGCAGTTGGAAAAGAGTCTGACTTCTGAGAAGAGGTCAAAGCTGAAGCACAAATATGTGTAGGCTGTGGGTACCAAGCTCACCCAGGGAGAGTGTGAGGCTAGAAGAGGGAAGGGCTGAGGCTAGAGCCTGGATACTGTACTAGCCAGCAGCTGAGGTGAGGAGCCAGCACAAGATGCAAAAGGGAGGTAGGAAAAAATGTAGGAAAGCCAAAAACCAAGAAAAATAAATGAACACGAGGTAAATATGGTCCTATAGCTTATTTAGAAAGAAAGTACAACAAGAATGAGGGTCTGTGCCACTGAGGCGGGAGGATTTTAGGTTGATTGTACAGACAGGGCCCCTGTATTCAAACCATTCATTTTTTTCATTTACATATTTGCTATGAAGAAAATGACAAGCCTAAATTAACCTCACGCTTCCCGAAGCTTGGACAGATTTAGTAGTGTCTTCTTTCCCTGTCTGAGAATCACTACCCTCACCTTGCTCTGAACTCACAGGCTGGACTAGGAGCTCCTCCAGAGGAACAGAACCATTTTGTTCATCTGGAGGCCCCAGACCCTGATAGCACAGAAGGTGCCCAAGGAAGGTATGATTTTCCTGAAGGACATACTTCCTCAAATGGTCAAGGGAAGACTGAGGCCTGGACCTAACTCAGGAGCCTTCTGTGATTGCAATTTCCCAAAGAATTTTTGCCTGTTCCCCTAAAGAAAAGACTTCCCACTGTTCTCTGCTCCCACCTGTTTCCATTCGGCCTAAGAACAACCAGATCTGCTCTCAAAAAATCAGATTGATGTGTAGTCTCAAGTGTCCCTGGCTTCAGCCCATTTTCAAGCAGTCTGATTACACCAGAGAAAAAATTTTGGTCAGGTACTCACGGGTCCTTTTTTTGAGACATAGTCTCTTGTATCTCAGACTGGCCTTAAACTTGCTATGTAGCTAAGGATAACTTGAACTTCTGACTCTCCTGCCTCTACCTCCCAAGTTCTGGGATTATGGATATGTACCATCACACCCAGTTTATGCAGTGCTAAGGACCAAACCCAGAGCTTTGTATATACTAGACAAGCACTCCACCAAATGAGTCACATTTCTAGCCCTCTCTATTATCTTATCATCCATTATAAAGAAAGTAGAGGTCCAGTAGTCCACATTTGTGCTTGATAATGATTGTTAACTTGACAGGATCTAGAATCACCAAGGAGACAAGACTCTGGGCACACCTGTGAGAGATTATCTAGTTTAGGTAAATTGAGGTGGGAAAGCCCACCTTAACTAAGGGGAGGACTAGTCTGTAAACTGAGATCCTGGATGGAATAAAAAAGGAGAAAGTGGGCTGAACACTAATATTCGTCACTCTCTCCTTCCTGCCTGTGGATGCAATGTGCTGAGCTGTCTCAAGCTCCTCCGCTGACCTTCCTGCCATGAGAGCACACCCTCAAACTGTGAGCCAGAATAAACTCTTTTTCCTTAAGTCACTTTATCAGATGTTTTGTCCCGGCACTGTATAAAACAGCTAATCCAAAATTTGTGTTGTCCAAGCACGGGAGATAAAGAGTGCATGGAATTACCACTCCATCGAATAGCAACATGAGGAAGAAAGTTCTATACATTCAAAACAAGATGCACTTTCCTGTCTTCCTAGGTCTAGAGCAAAGACTCTGCTGGCCACTAGAGTCAGCTGATTTGTGTTGTTGTTGTTGTTCCCTTGGGGTCATGCACTATCGTCCTGGCCTCAGGAGAGGAGCTCTAGGTTTGAGTACCTACTCTTTCCACCTCACAGCATCCAAAGGAGGTAGGGAGGTAGACCTGGCACAATGTTCTTTGCTCAGGCAAAGAAATTACTCCCAAGCAAGGTCGCAGCCTCAGACTAAGCCTCCCTGTGAAGTGCCCTGGCCTCACAAACACAACTTCCTTGTCCTGCTTACCTGCACTGGGTGTAGTCTTGTCTTGGTGTTTCCTATACCTTCCACAGTTGTCACAGCAACGTGATGCAAGGAGCAGATGGGGGCCAGGCAGGCATTGACAGGAAAGTGACTAAAACCCCAGATTAAGGTCATTCCATTATCCACAGCAGTGCAGGGCCTCTGGGGGTGGGGGTGCTTAGCAGGGTTTTCTGTATGGCTCTTGGATCTAGGCTACATGCTTGTCTCTTCTACTGGTGTCCTTGCCTCTCCATCCAAAACCCCGAGCCAGGGACAAAGGAAGATCTCCTGCAGCTGAGGTTGGGCCCCTTTAGAGTCCTATTGGGTCAGCCTTCATTATACCAGCCTCCAAACTGAACAAGAAGGCCAAGGCTACATTCACCTGCTTCTTAGTCCTACTCTGGAGGCCACTGAGAGAGGAACTTTCTGGCAGGTTGCAGCTCCTCTGTGGGGCCCTTCTTGTGTCTTTCAGGACAAGAATCTCTCATCTTTTGCTTCCATGTGTCCCCCCATCACTCCATCTCCCCAAGATGAAGGAAAACATAAGACTCCAACCCCTTAGCAGCTTTGTCTCATCTCTCTCTCAGTCATCACTCTTTCATGAAAACAGTCAGCATCAGTGATTGAATGCAATCAATATGATAGCTCCTTACTGAGCGCTGAGAAAGTACAGGGGGATAAGACGAACTCTCTGTCCTGAAAAAGTTTGCAATCAACACAGGAAAATAGAAGTAGGTATGGAGATGCAACTTCAAAGTCTTACAGTAAATGACTCAAGAGGGCTTTGCAGAGGGCACTAATATGTCTGTACAGACAAGGGGTACCCAACTCAATTTGGGAAATCAAGGAGGACTTCCTAGAGGAGGTGTTGTTTGGGCCCAGTCCTTCCAGGTAGAAAAGTCCTGGAAGAGAGGACAATAATGACAGGAAACAGTTTATGTCAAGATCAAGAAAGGAGCAGACTTGAGCATCAGTTCTCTACAATGTCTCAGGTTGAGGAATACCAGGCCCTTGATGACAAAGGAGACTGGAAAGGAAAGTGGGACATACAATGAAGTGGTCTGGACTCTATCCAGGGGTCATGGGGAGCTGAAGAAGGATTTTATGGGATGGGATGTTATCCTGGACTTTAGAGAGGACATTTCATCAGCAGTTCAGAGCTTGGTTCAGTCATAAAGAAGACACTCCCAGGAAGTCCTGGTCTACAGTTCCAGGAAGACACTCAACAAGACATCTTTCTACAATCCCTGTCCATGATTGGAGCCTGCTCTGAAACAAGGGGCTAACGTGTGTGCACACACACACTCATACACTTACTCACAAGCTGACCCCATATCCTAGTCCAAACATGGGCCCCTGGGCAAGCAGGTTAAAGGATACATGATCTTGTTCTGGAGACGATCATACTTGGATACCATCACCGTGCACGCCCCACAGCCACCTTCTCCACAGCCGAGCTTCGTACCGCTCAGCCCCACTGAGCAGCCGCTTGTTAAGGACACAAATCAGGGAAAGGCATCTGTGAGTGGCCAGAGAACGCCTGGGCAGAGCTTCACAGGCACAACTCACCCACTTTCATGTACAATTCAGGCCCTTGAGCCACAAAGCAGCAGGCTCATGGCCTCCTCAATGAAAAAAATCTGAAGTGCACCCCACAAGGGTGAAAACTGGTCACCTTCACTTCACAGAAGACTGAACACTGAAGCAGCATCCCCCAGGGAACAAGTCGGGGTCTCCCATGTGAAGTCTTTCTGGGCAAGTGGATCATGCATCTTAAAGACTAAGCATATGGGGCAGCTAAGCATACAGTGAAGTGCCCATTCAGGCAGTGCCCTGGGATTGACTGACTTCTAGCTTTTCACACTGAAACTTTCAGGTTGATAAACTCCCAAATTAAAACCAAAATTAAAGCTGGACCAATATTTTGACTACTTAGCACAATAAACACAAATGAAAAACAAAGTTTTTGAGGTCAGGGATCAATAATGATCTCAATCTTTATATACACTGTGGAAAATAGCCACTTTGCTAACTAGTAGCCTATTCCAAATCCACGGCTATTATGTGGTCACCTTCTATGAGACTGGTCTTTCTTGACAATTTTCTTACAGGCTCCATATCTTTCCTGAAGATGGGAGAAATGGATATTATTAGCATCTGGCACATCCTCCATCTTTAAGATAAAATTAACGAAGAACAATGATACAACATCTTATACTTAAAAGCTTGGGAGGCAGAGGCAGGTGGATCTCTGTGAGATCAAAGCCTGCCTGGTCTACATGGTGAGTTCCAGGCCAGCTGGGGCTACAGGGAGACCCTGCCTCAAAAAGAAAAATAAAAGAGGAAAGAAAAAGGAAAAAGAAAATAAAGAGCTCTTGATCTTCTTCACAACAATTTGTCTTCACAACAGTTTGGTTATCAGACAAGAGCTACTATTTTTCCACAAATTAACAAGCTGAGGCCCATGATGTAACATGAGTTGCAGAGCGTTATCTTGTATGTTAGGGTGCCAACAGTCTTCTGGCTCTGGAGTTGGTAGGCATTCCCTTGCTCATGCTACCCTTCTCTAAGCCAAAGAAGGTTTTCTAAGTCCCAAGTTGAATTTTTTTCATCAGTCAAGGTATATGCAGTTATTTGTAGTTCATACACAGGCAGTGGCAGACCAAAGTCTAGCAAGGTTATCTTCCTTATCTTTTGGCCTGGCAATCTTTCTAGAGGCCTCAGGGTAGAATGGAGGCTGGTATCTTTTTCCCACTGAGAACTCCAGCAAATTAACCACTTACACAGGCTGCAATAAGGAAAAGGACTTTATATCTACATGGCAAGTTTAAGTCTTAAATTTCACTTGAGCTTTGACCTTCAAATAGTCGTGATAAGGAATTCCTAAGGCTTCTAGGGCTTTCAAAACAAAACTGAAACTATTAGAGAACCAAAATTAGTTTCTCAATAATGTCTGAGAATGTGTCTCTTCTCAGACCTCAGGTAGGATCTGAGCTCCACACAGTTCCCTTATCATAACCACTGAATCCCCTGCCACAAAAGAGCCACCAAGGTCATCTGCTATGAGCCTCCAGACATGCCCATACCAGGCCACTTGCCATGCTGTCTGATAAGATGGGAGTGGGAAAAGTTAAGGCCATGAATTCCAGACTTACTTCTATGGGAATTTGAACAAGTATGTGACTTGAAAGGGCCACAAGCATCCCTCTGGGAGGAAAACCATGCACAGACTTCAAAATGAGCACAGTCTTGACACCAGACCCCAGGAGAGTTTCTCATGGATGAGAGACTAAGGGCATGCCCCTAGGTATCAGTCCAGGCTCTGTCAGAGCTTTCCCAGAATACACTTGGTGAAAGGCAGTTCACTTCAGCAGTGTAGGCCTCACTTCTCTCCTGCAGAAGGGGAGTGTTGCACCTCCATGGAATTTCTGTGGGGATTATATGAAATAAATTATACAAACTACTTCGAACTTTATCTGTACATAAATGTCAGCTCCTATACTTTTTTGTTATTTTTGATCCAGAGTCTCAGAATACTTTAATGGTCTGAAAGAACAGAAGGTTTAAGGGATCTTACAGAAGCCTTTTCCACTCAGAATGAAGTGCAGCTTCCCAAGACACGGTAAGGAGTCCCCTGCCCTTGATGCAGCTCAGACAGGTCTGCCATTGTCACATGGATGGTGCCTTACACAATTCCCCCTACAGACATCCTTTCCCAGTAGACAACCCTTAGATGGGAATGTAGCTCAACAGTAGAGTGCTTGTCTAATAGTCAGAAGGCCCTAGGTTCAATCCTCAGTACTGCAAGAAAAAAAAAAAAAAAACAATTGATATCCCCTTTGCTTGTCTCTCCTGACCTGTGCAAAGCTAGAAAGATTCCCCAGGAAGTGCATTATGTATTAAAAAATATGTCAGATAAGGAGGAGCCTGATCCCTCCAAGGAGAATGACCATGAAGCTCACTAGGGCTAGTCGGGGCCTTCCTCAGACACAGAATCCAATGTTGGAATTACTGGAATCAGCTAGAAGACATTTCAAAGAACACAATGAACAGTCCTCTAATTTGAGAGCTGAGAGTCTCAGATCCAGGAAGCCAATGACTACCCAAGGTCACCCAGCTAATGAGTACCACGGCTGTAGCTAAAACACAAATGTCCAGACTCCTTTGTGGTCACCCCTCCAGTCACTAGGAAATGAATCCCATCATCCCCTCACACTTATTCTACTCCAAAGTCAGGATACGCTTTCTTCTCAGGTAGGCCAGAAGGGTTGTTTCTGGATCTGCATTTTTCTCCACCACCTACCAAGAAAATGAAAGAAAATATATCAAAGTTGCACTTAGCCATTCTTTTGCAATTTATTTTTCCTTTTACTACATCACACAAGATTTGTACAGTTAATGGGTAATAAGCTAAATAGACCATAAAAGTCAAGGCTTTTTTTCTTGGCAATTCCATAAAAATGGACAGATGAGCTATAAGATTAACTATTGAAATGACAAAGCTGATTCCATTTTGTTCTGGCTGACTTTTGCTTTACCCTGTATTTTTGCCCAGTCATTCCCACTGCAGCCAGCCATGCAGGCTGCACCTGTAGCTTCAGGGGGTACACTGTTTCTACAATACTGGAAAAGTTGAAACTAGCCCGATAGCAGGTCCTCTTACCCAGCTGTACTTACATCTCCATGGAGCCTATTGTTTCTGCAATACTGAGAAACTTATTTTTCCCAACTGAAACTTTTTATTAACTGACAACTTCTTGCTAACTGATTTGCTCCTGGTTTGGTGTAACTATGGTAGTCTTATATAACTATGGTTATTGACTTTGCTCCTGGTATAATATAATTGTGTTTTAAGTTTTATAAACCCACCCCTGCTTCTCCTCACGGTCGAGAGTTCTTTCGGGCATTAGTTCTCTTGGGCATCAGCTCATAAAGGACTCTTGACTTGACCCAAAACTTCATGGCATTTCCCTGAGAGCATTACACTGTGTACAGGATCATGTCCTGAAGTCCTACCTTAGTGCTTCGCTCCAGACCCACCACAGAACACTCAGGTTCTGTACTGGGAAGACCATGGCTAAGCTTCCCTCAAGTCAAGCATATCATTACATTTACCCTGCTGCATCCCAGCTGTAACATCCAGGGGCATCTGGGGTTGTCAGCATGCAGACCTTAGCTTTGTTTCCTTGAGTGTACCTGCTCAAACCCTGTGTGTGGATGTAGAAAGCTGATCATTTGGTCTGTGCTCATAGAAGAGTGTTGTATGTGACAAGTAATCACAGTAGCAACATGAATAGGTTGGGTAGGGAAGCAACCTTAAGCCAAAGACCCATCTGTATGTTCAGTAAAGTAGAAAAAGTTGTCTGCAACAGAGATGCTCTTTCTGAATGTAAACTGTCAAAAGCCTATTTTACAACACCTCCATGTATAAAGGGTCTGGGTTGTTGAGATGATCAAAGGAGAAAATCTACGGCAAGGGTTTCTTTAAGAGAGATGTACTATGAGTCCCACAGCTAGAGTGGAAAGGACAGAGGTATCTGTCTCACACTTCAAACTGAGTGAAAAGGCATCCTTTGTGCTGGCCTGACTTTTTGTATTGGAGCTGGAGATTCAAACTCATGTCCTCATGCTTGCAGAGCAAGCCCTCTTACCTACAAACCATTACTATAGCTCCAGTAATAAAATTTTTTACTACAAATAATTAAAACATTTCTGAAACTCCCAGAATTTGCTCCTTCAATAAACCTTAAAGGAAAGTGGGAGATAAAATTGGGATTGTAAAACAATGCTCATTTATGGAGCATAGATTTTTATGTAGATGCATTAAATCATGTGTATATATGATGTGAAAATAGGATCTATCTAAAATAACAAAGGGGACTGACAGGAAGGTGGAGGATAAGACAGAGTAGGGAGTTGGGGAGGACTGAGTAGGGAGTGGAGGAGGACTGAGTAGGGAGTGGGAGGGGGCGACTGTGACCAACATACAATGCATATTCGCATGAATTTTTTAATTTTTAAACTAATTTTTTTCCATTTTTATTTATTTATGCTCATTTTATGTTCGGAGTGTGCTTTGCATGCCTCCTGGTCTTCCATGCTGTGAATAATTGTCCTCACACACTCTCCCTGTCATGCTGTTCTGCTGTTCTCCCTGTCTGCTCAAGTGCATGGGACTCATGTTCATGGACTAAATCTTCTGAAATCATGAACCAAAATCAGTCTTTCCTTCCTTAAGTTGATTCTTTCAGGTATTGTGGTAACAGTGACACAAAAGCAACTTACACTGTGGAGAAGTAGGTTTAGAAAAAAATCGGTTGATGGGTCAACGAGATGACTCAGTGTGTAAAGGCACCTGCCACCAAGTCTGATGACCTGAGTTCCATCCCTGGGATGGATAAGTCGATCCCATAAGTTGTTCTCTGACCTACACAGACACACATACACACACACACACACATACACACACACACACACACTGTGGCAGGTGCGTGGTTACCACACAACACATACAAATAAATACACAAAAATGTTATAATTTAAAACATTTTGAAAAGGAAAAAATTAGATGGAACATATTGCTCTGAGAAACTTGAACTTTAAAAGAAATAATAATCATAATGGATTATAACATACTAAATACAAATATTAAATATATAAATATAAATTGACAATGAATTGGTGAATAAATAAATAAATGGGAGAGGAGAGCACTTTCTTCCCAGAAGTAACAAATATGATTGATCATCATGTAATTGGCACAGTAATTGACCCAGTTAATCATCAATCAGTGTTCAAACCAGTGCATGAAAACTTGATAAATAAAATATTTATATGACCTCATAATATCTGCTCACAGATTATTAATTATAGGGGTTTTAAAAAGTTGCCTTATGGTAAAGAAAATTAAACAGCACTCTTATCTAAGAAGTCAAAGTTCATGTCACTGATGATGGGAAAAACTGACATGACATGTTCCTTGATAGAATATGCTGAGAAAGGCACATTACTTTCATGGTATTCCTGCCCAAAGGAATCTAATTAATGTGGAAGCAGTAAACGGATGGCCATTAAAAGCTGGAAATCTGGAGTCCCAGCACTTGGGAGGCAGAGGCAGGCAGATCTCTGTGAATTTAAGGCCAGTCTGGTCTACATAGTGAGTTCCAGGCAAGCTGGGGCTATGGGGAGACTCTGTTTTGAAAACAAAAAAAAAGCTGGAAATCTAATTATAAGACAGCATGAGACAAACAGAATTGGTGCCATCCTAAATAACAGTTGGTCTGTTCCCTTCAGAAACTCCAGTGTCAGTAAAGACTACAGAAAACAGGAGCTGTTCCAAGTTAAAAGAGACTGAAAAACTATGACAACCAACGCTGCTGGTGAATAATAAATGACATTACAGGGAAAATGATGGCAACTTTGATGAGCTACATAGGAATATTATGTCAAAGCTGCATTTCCTAAATTTCATAAGTGGACTATCACTCTCTAAGAATGTCTAGTCTTTATTCTTAGGATAAAAAGCAAAGAGACATGATATCTGAAACTCTCGATGGTTCAGAAATAAATGTTATGCCCATATATTTATATTTATATATATTATTAAATATATAACTGTATAATTATTTGTGCACTTACATATGTACATCTATGTTTGTAATATGTGTATAAACTGTATCTGTATTCAGGAAGAAAGAGAGCTCCAGAGGGCCTGGAAAGATGGTTCAGTGGGTAAAAGCATTTGCCACCAAGCTTGACAACTTGAGTTTGAGCCACACGGTAAAAGGAGAGAACCAACTCCCACAAGTTGTCCTTTGACTTCCACTTGCATACCATGACATGTGTGTGTGCGCATGCACACACACATACACACACACACACAATCAATGCACACACAACTGAAAAGAATGCTTTAAAAAGAGAGAGGAAATTAAAGCAAACAACAAAATGTTAACAGTTAACAGTTAATAAAAATGAGCAGGTTGTACTTAATATTTCTTTGCATTCATGAAATTTTCTGTAACTTTAAAATGCAAAGTTTAAGAATGTATTTCTTGGGGTTGGAGAAATGGCTCAGGAGTTAAGAGTGCTGGTTGCTCTTACAGAGGACCCAGCACCCACATGGCAGCTCACAACTGTCTGTAACTCCAGTTCCAGGGGATCTGAGACCCTCTTCCGACCTCCACAGGCACTGCACTACACAGGTGCACTTGCGCATATACAGGCAAAACACTCATGCATATAAAATAAAAATAATTAATTAATTAAAAAAGAATATGTATTTAATCCCAGCACTTGGGAGACAGAGGCAGGCAGATCTCTGTGAGTTCAAGGTCAGCCTGGTCTACATAGTGAGTTCCAGGACAGCTGGGGCTACAGGGAGACCCTGTCTCAAAAAGACCAAAAAAAAATTTTTTTTCTTTAGTATAGGACTTTTCAAATCCATCTATTTCCCCAGGCTTTTAATACCTGTCCATTCATTTCTTCCACATTAATTGGGCATTTACTATGTACTAAAAACAGGGTCTTTTGGTGCTAGACTTTTTCACTTTGCCTGCTCACAGTTCATCTGTCTGCCTAGTCCATGGGCTCACAAATGACAAGTGCCAGGTCTCAAAGACCCTATTGAACCATCGTATATCCTAGAGTCTTAGGCCTCTGAAGGAGCTTGATAAATAGTGAGCACATGAGCCAGTGGGCAGAGACTGTGAACTCTGTCTTGCACTGTCTACCTGTTGGGATCTCTCCTGGAAAGCTCCAGCCATACCCTACCTGCCAAATCCTCCCAGATTCTTCCAGCAGCTGCTAAACCATTTACACTAAACAGAGTAACTGATCGACAAAGCTAAAATCCTGACTCCCCAAAGGTCTATCGTTACAATGGTGGTGAAATACTGGGCAACTCTTTCCCTTTGAACACTGACTCCAGAACAGAAGATGAGTCACCAAAGCCCATGGCACTCCAGAAGGCCCCACAGATGCTTCACATCTTGTACCTAGCACCCTTGCTAAACCCCACTCATACAGACAGAGCTCTTCCCTAGTGCCTAAAACAAGGAGAGTATACTGGCTAGTCTCTATCAATTTGACACAATCTAGAGTCACCTGGGAAGAAGGAACCTCAGTTGAGGAACTTCCTCCATCGGACTGGCCTGTGGGAACATGTGGGGAATTTTTATTGTTAATTGACATATGAGCTGGCCCAGTCCACTCTGGGCAATGCCATCCCTGCGCAGGGGCTGTACAAGAAAAGCTGCTGAGCAAGCCAGAGGGAACAAGCCAGTAAACAGTGGTCCTCCATGGTCTCTACTTCAGTTCCTATCTCTAGTTTCCTGCTTGAGCTCCAGCCCAGGCTTCCCTCAATCACAGACTGTAACCTGTAAGCCAAATAAACCCTTTGCTCTTCAAGTCAGTGTTTTATCACAGCAAGAGAAACCAAACTAGAACAGAGAGTAAGAGGCTCCCCTGTAAGAATGAGTCATCACCTTTCCACAGCTTCTTTGGTGATTTCTTTGCACAGTATTTATAACCAAAGGCCTACAGCATCTTGAGAAAGGAGATGAGAGCAAAGCATTCACACTGACCAGCCTGTCTTCCTGATCCCCTCACTTGCTCTGGCTTATCACCACTGTTTTCACATCATTACTCTGCACTGCCTCTCCACTTCCCAGTGGTTTCTCAAGAGCCCACACAACAAACATAGCTATTCATCATGAGAACCTGACAGGATTAGAAGCTTCCAGAGACAGCAGAGTTTGATGTGACACCACCCTCTAAAAATTTAAGTGCAAATAAAATACAACAGGAAAAAAATTACCAAGCCAGTTTACCTTGAAACTCTCCTTTCTAGACGAAGCGCCTAACAGCAAGCCATCCCTAAAGAAGAGCGGTAGGGCACACACCAATTGATGTTTAATACACAACAAAACCTTGGAGTAAGGCATGACCTTGGAAGCCACTGGATCCAGCTACTAACTCACTGGAAAAAAATCACTTAAAAATGATTCAAAGACAATGTCTCTCTGGACAATGTCTCTCTGGAAAGCCAGTTTAACCACTGTTTCTTACATCTTTATAATGTAAATGCTGAATACAAGAGAAGTTTAAAATACTGGGTGCGAAAGTCTTACTACGGTCAGCCTGGGAGTTTTGCCTTAGCTTTTGGCTTGATGTCAGCTGCCAACCTTAAAAAAAAAAAAAGCATTTCTGAGAGGATCCTGAACCCCAGGACCCTGGGATGGCACCATTCAAACTGAATAAAACATTCTTTGTAGCACTGGTGTTGAAATGGCTCCTAAAATTCTCTTTATAGCCGCCCAAATACATCCAGACAGCCTAAGTCCTTAAGCATGTTAGTTCTTGAAAATTAACTCCAGAAGTCACTCAGTTTCTCCAACTCAGTGCAAAGTACCGACATAACAAGACAAGGAAAATTGCCCTTCTTTGGGTGTCCCTTCACCCCTCTTATCAATTGGGCTGTCCATGTAGCCAGTTACAGTAGAATGATGGCTACTCTCCCATGACCTTTTACAGTCTTCAGTGGGGAACTGAGGTGGTGTAAGCATCTTGGTGTAGGGAGGCAAAAAGAGTCTTGCCCCCTCCCTTCCTGAATCTGCATTGAAGTTGCAAAGATTCTCCCTTGGGGTATCCAGAGATTTTTGGTACCCATGCCAATTTTCCTTCATCCCCCTGCACCAAAGAAGTTTAAGGGACTTGTAATACTTATATATAGAACTAACAGGTGGAGGAGGGGATTCTTTTATAACAAAAAATAATCATGGCTTGCCACAAGGTGTCAGTATATGTCCCCACACAGTAAGTCAGAAATCACTGTTACATCTGTATACATAATACATCAGAATCAATGACTCTTATACCTTACATCCTGGCATGGAAACATTCCTGTTACTTCTCTCTCCGTAAAGAGAGCCATCCATCAAAGTTATATTTAATTAAACACAGAAATGTTGATGACTTTCCACCTTACCTAGACTCTGTTCCTTTTCTCCCTCTGGGCCAGTGTGTCCACTACCACAGAGTGGGCATCCAGCTCGCCGACACCTCCTTTTCTCTTCCCTCTAGCTCAGTCTTTTGCCCCGAGTCTCCTGTCTGTGTTCTTTGTGCCCTAATGCTACCTAAACACAGCAGTGCCTTCTAAGGGAGAAAAAGAGACCAGAACAACTCAGAGGAGCCAAGTAAGAGAGAGAACCAGAGGACACATGCCCCTTCCCAGCAAGCAGGGGACTCCAATGCAAAAACCAACTCCGGCTTACCTTTTTGCCATTCACAAAGAAAACCAACTCATCTGCTGTCATCGTTGCTGGTGGAGTCCTTGGGCTTAGGAACTTCACTCTAAGAGATACTTGGAGATATCACTGCCCTGCTACTTGAAAGATACGCCTCTCAGTAAAGTGAAACAAATTTGACCAATGGGAGAGAACCACCTGGAGGCATAGACAGTTCTTGGCAAGAGCCACTGGTTTACATAATCCAGGAACACGCAAACAAACACACACAGAGAATCATACTGTCTATACTTGTGTCAAAGTGCACAGAGGAAAGGGCATGCATGTTAGTGAGACCAGTGTCTTGATGCCAGGTGACTGTGAATTCTGGGCACTTGCCCTTGTGGAACCTGCTTCATCCTCCTCCCACTTGCCCCACCAGGCATAGAAAGGGGAAGAGCCATTTGTCAGCTACTTCCAATGGGGCTGATTCACTTTCTTCCCATCTACTCTTTCCTGTCATTTCACTAGCCAGTTTCTACAACACAGACTCAGCACTGGCTTGCTCAACTCATCTTCTCACATTCTGGTGGAGCATGCAGGTCATGGGCATGATGTTCAGTGTCCAGACTCAAATCCTGGTGTTTGACTACAGCATGTCATTTACCACCTCCAGAACTCAACCGTTTCATCCTGGAAAGGGTCATAAGAATGATCTCAAGATCAAAAGACTGATGGACAAATGCTTTCCCAGAAGTGCCTTATAAATTTGTAAAGAACAGAAATATTTGGCATGCTTATAAAGGTATTCTTAACACAGCAAATAATTCTGATAACAAACTATCTTTGAGGCTTTTCTTGGTTTCTCTCAGGAAAATGCCCTTGACAAGCTGTCAGAGGAACTGACAAAATTTTTTCAAATACCACATAAACTAAAACACCTATACAGCATAGGCACAGACCATGTTAACAGTGTTCAAAACTTCCCACATCCAGGATCTTTAGCTCCAGGCATTAACACCTATGCACAGGGTCTACCCAAGCAGCACCAATGGGGTCTCTCTGGTCCATCCCTTCCGGCTGATCCATCCTACCCCAACATACCAGCAGGCCCTCTGTTCTCCCTCATCCTTACAGCCACCCAGTTACTTAGCCAGTCTACAGTAGGAGACTCCCTGTAACCCTGATAGACTACATCTAATGTTAATAAAGGAACAGCAACATCTCAGGCAAACAGGATTCCTAGGACAACCACACAATGTAGAACACCCCTTTCCCAGCATAGCCCTGATATAACCAGGAAACAAGTTTTCACTTCCCAGGTGATCAGTATCCCAGTTGGTCCTAGACTATCCTGAGTTATGCACTGAGTTCTTGTAAGTCTCTCAGTCCAGGGAAAATGGAGATGCTGATCACTATAAAACAGTGGCTGTTAATCAGAGTGGATTCCCACAAGAGGTTTTTTTTGACTGGAATCTTAGTGTTGTAACTGGTAGGGTTTCTGCAGCTGCTGCTATAGAGTAAACAGGGACCCGGAAATGTGACTAAACATTCTACAAAGCCCAGGACAGTCCCTCACAACACAGAATATCCAACCTAAAATGTTAAGCAGAGATTGAGAAATCCTACTCTAAAAGGAAAAGGGTGGGGGAAGGAATTATAGCTGAGCCTGGGGCATGTTTTGCAAGTCTCCGTGTCCCTCATACCTCTATGATTGACTGGCTTTTCTTCTGTTCACTGACCTACACATCTTCACATCTTCATGAGTTCTGCCCTTTCACCTAGGTGGTCCAAGTTAAAAACTCCCAAGGAAAGTCGGGTAGACTAGCTTTAGTATTCATTCCATCACTGTGTAACTTTTGCAAAAATCACTGTGTTGAGCTCAATGTCCTCACTTACAAACATGGGTTACTATACCTACTTTATGAAATCAGCTCTGCTGAAAATTAAATAAGGAAGTGAATATCCCCAGCAGACCTAGGGCAAGTGCCTGCCAAATGAGAGGTACAGAAATATAAAATTGAGAGATTTCCAGTGCTCACAATCCCCCTCCCTTGCCATAGTCTGGAGGAGTAAGCAACTGGACGGGTGGAACAGACCAGGTTAAAGAGAAGATCAGAACTCAGCTGGAGCTAACCTCAGCCTTTGGGAACTCACCAGCAAAGAACGACAACGACCACAGACACAGCTCCAGAGAAAGGGTAAGGGACCCTAAAGTCAGTGCCTCCCTGCTACCACTACTGCAGCTTGGTTCTTGTGGAAACATGCAGGCAGGATGGAAAACATGTTGCTGCATCTGTATGTGAGCAACAGAACCCAAGACACTGATTGTGGAGATGGCAGGAGTGTAAGGAAGTGTAAAACTGGGAGATTCTCAATACTCCCCACCCTGGCCAAAGCAGGGAGGCTGCATGTGGATCACAGGAAGTTGTGGTGGAACTTGGTGCAGTGTTTTGATGGACAGAACTAAAGGAAACACGTTAGGGTTTCCCCCCTGTGGTGGGGCCAGGAAAAAAGAGAACAAAGAAAAGACAACATGGTCTACTCAGTGTCAACGTGGCAGACTTGTTACATTCCTTTAGTCTTAATGTCACAGCTCTGTGGCCTTAGAGCACCCAGTCAGAATGTCTGTTACCATGCAAGGGAGGCAAAAGGGGCTAAAATGAGATAAAAGGCAAAACCTTACTATGCATGGGCTCAGTTTTTTGGATATAAATCCGTTGAGTCAGTATAGGCTCAAATAAAACTGCTTCTTGGAATTAAAAAAAAAAAAAGCCTTTGCCTCCTTCCTGTCTCTCTATTCAACTGCCCTACAATCCCCCAACCAGGAAGAAATAGTGACTGAAAACGTACAATTTATTTCAGATTAATGCTCATTTGTGTTTGTATTTTTTTATTTATTTGTTTGTTTGTTTGTTTTGGTCTTTTTAAAAAAGGGTCTCACTGTCACCCCAGCTGGTCTGGAACTCGCTAGGCAGATCAGGCTGGCCACCATCTCACAGAGACCATCTTTCTCTGCCTTCTGAGCCCTGGGGCTAAAGGCGTGTACCACCATGCCCTGCTTTATTTTTAATTTTTAGCTTTTATGTTTTGTTTTACATTTTTATATGCATACATATCTTGTTTAATTCTTTGATTAATTTTTTTTCTCTAAGTATGTACATATATAGAAGAATTAATGAATCTCAAGAATGAAGGTCAAGGTTAAGACAATACATACAGACATATATAAAGAAAGGAAATGGGCTGGGGAGGTGGTTCAGTGTTACAGAGCTTGTTGAGTACTGGAGTTTGGATCCCCAGAATCCACATAAATGCTGGGTGGACATGACAACTGGCCTGTAACTCCAGCCTGGGAAGGTGAAGACAGGAAATCTCCAGAGCAAGCTAGTTAGCAAAACTAACCATAACAATGAGTTCTCAATTTGATTAAGAGACCCGCTTTAATAGATAAGGTGGAAGAGTAATAAAAGATGGCATCAAGCTCAGACCACCACATGCACAGACATACATACACGCACACACATACACACACACACACACACACACACACACATATGGAAAGGTGGGGGCGAATCAATGAACATGACTTCCAAGAAGTCCAGAATACACGAAAGAGATCAAACCTAAGACTCAGTGGGATAGAGAAAGGAGCTGACAGAAAAATCAAATGTCTTAGACAACTTATTCAACAAAATTACAACCAAGAATTGCCCAAATCTAGAAAAATAGAGATCCAAACACACAAGCATTTAGAATTCCAAACAGATATAACCAGAGAAGAATTTCTCCAAGAGATATCATAGTCAAGATAGCAAAAATACAATTAAACAATATAAAAAACTATGAGGAAATAGACCAATATTCAAAGGCAGAAACATGAGAGCAACATTAGATCTATTGTTACTACCATAAAAACTGAGAAAATGGGGCTGGAGAGATGGCTTGGCTGTTAAGAGCACTGGTTGCTCTTGCAGAAGACCCAGGTTCAATTCCCAACACCCACATGGCAGCTAACAACTGTCTGTAACTCCAGTTCTAGGGGATCTGACGCCCTCTTCTGACCTCCATGGGCACTGCACGACACAGGTGTACCCACCTACATGCAGGCAATACACTCAGACACATAAAATAAAAATAATAAATAAAAAACTGAGAAAACATAAAATGATATCTTTCTTTCAATCCTTGAAAGTAAATAATTATCAACCAAAATTTTATAACCAGCAAACTATCTAGTAAAACAGATGAAGAAATAGAATATTTCAAAACAAAGACAATTAAGGCAATTCACGATAACTAAGCCAGCACTGAAGAAATTCTTAAAGGAATTGCTCTATAGAAGGAGAAAGTTTCACACATAAGAACAGACAATAGACTATATTGCATGAAGGGAAGAAATGCACAGACGAGAACTGGGAAGAAATCAATCATGTTCACACAGCAAAACAGCAACCAGCCTAGAAAAGGAATAAACAACTACTAACTAATCAACCAACCAACAAAATCACAAGCAATAACAACCCTTCTCAATTATAACCTTGAATGCAAAATAGAGTCAAAGGTTGGAAATCAAACTACCAAGTAAGTACAGGCTGCAAATAAGCTAGCCCAGCAAGTCTCATATCTGGTAGAGTAGACTTCAAACCAAAATTAGTCAGAGGAGATAAAAGGGCCACTGCATGTTAATAAAAGGAATAATTCATTAAGAAGATGTAACTATTATAAATATTTATGCACTGAATCTTGAAGCCCCCAACTTCATAAAACAAACACAAAATATCATTAAAAACAAAACAAAACAAAACAAAACAAAACCATAGCAGTCCAGAAACAATAATAATGGGAGACTTCGATACCCTACTGGCACATCTAGATAGCACTTTGAAATTAAAACTCGGTAGCTAGATGTGGCAGCATATGCCTTTAATCCCAGAACTTAAGAAGCAGAGGCAGGTGGATGTTTATGTGATCAAGGCCAGCCTGGTCTACACAGCAAGTTCCAGGCCAACTAGGAATACAAGGAGACCCTGTCTCAAAAATAAGAAAGAAAAGAAAAGAAAGAAAAAGAAAACCAGTAAAGGAATCTCAGAGCCAAATCATACTAAAATAGACTAAATATATCTACAGAACATTCTACCCCATGGATAAAGATTAAGTATT